GAAAAAAAAAAAAAAAAAAAACTCTTTGGGGGTGTGAACAAATAGCAGTTGTTATACGTTGTTAATGTTCCGAAGTAACTGTAATTTGTTTATGTTTATGATAATGCTAAGAGAATTTTTTATTAAAAAAAAAAAAAAAAAAAAAAAAAAAAAAAGATTTGGGGGTGGTAAGTATCGGTGGCTGGTATCGGCAGCCTCCACAAATACGGATCCCTTGAAAATAAAGCTATTACCAGCCCGATACAAATACCGATATCCGTGATCACCCATCCCTACTCCCTCCTTCCCGATTGTTTTGTTAATTTTCATGATGAAATTAACCAGTTAATTTCACCATTGCCTTGCATGTGAATATGACCAAATGGCGCCTAATACAAATCAATGTGAGATGCGCATGAACAGTAGGTGAAGTTTTGCCTCCGCCAACGCCGGCAATGCAAATATCGCTCACAAAGCGCTGGTGAAAGATTAACGCTCAGCGAGACGGAGCGGCCGTTTCAAGTGCTTCTCTTAATTAGAGTGAAATCCGGAGGAGTGAAGATTCCCTTTGGAAACCGGACACGTGTCCTCCCCGCTCACACAACTCACTCTTCGAAGGACACCGCAACCTAAACTCAAAGTTAATATTTGCTCGCGTACAACTTTTAACATAAATTATTTGCGAGAAGAAAAAAAAAAAATGCCGCCTGTGGATTAGTCGGGCGTACAAAACTAAAGTGGTGGAGACACGTTTTGCATTATGTAGTACAGTAGCTGCTTTTTGTTGTTGTTGCTTAAAAGAAAAAGAATTCATGCATGAGGTGCAATAACACACCAGAAAATCTTTTCTTTTGAACAAAGTGCAATATGAAAATCTTGTAAAATTTTATGATTGTCTGTTTTCATATGCAAGGTCCTCTTTTTCTTATTAAAAATAACTAAGCAATGCGTTTTTCGGGGGGTTGAACCTGGATTATTTTCAAAGGTGAAGGTTGATTTGCGATCGTGATCCGAGTTGCGAGCGTGGTCACTCGTACGTCAAGGTTGCGGTCGATGACGAATCTGCAGTCAAGCTAGTCGATTATTTCGGGACGCGTTATCGTAATTTGTGTACTTTATTGGCTCAGTGAGCTATTTGCTAATGCGAGGTCTTCTATTTGATCAAAGTGGTCTTCAAAAGGGTCGCAAAACGTCTTCAACCGCCTGCATTTAGCCTTGTATGTGCAGTCCTGTAAAGTGTGAGAATTTGGATTTATCCAGTACCACAGTTCACTTCCTTCACGACTCGGCGATCCAATCTGTGGCTTTTTACCGGTGACCCGTGCTAGGTGAGGATGGGGGTTCCCGTCATACTCGGGTCACCTGTTTTTCGCCGGTTGACTGCTGCGGAACACACAGCGAGCCCAAAAATCCACCACTGAGTTTAAGCGTCGGCAAGCTTCTACTTTGTTAATGCCAAACCGGTCCTCCTCCTTTGCCAAGCGGACTGGATGAATAATAGCAACGCGTCCAGCCTGAGGCTTCGTTTGTCCGTGTCGAAAAGCAGAACAAGGCGAATGCAGCATTTAAAACAAAACAAAAAAAAAAAAAAAACAACCATAGGCATGAATTTAGATGCCATTTTTTTTTTTGAAGTGAGAAGGTGGCTAGGCAGAAAGACAAATAGACCCTTCGTGTGACAGCTGAGGAGGGGAATCGGTGCGAGCAATTGGACGATGATGAATTTGCACCCGATGAACTGGACTATTCATAATCGCTGTCATTTGATGGCTGACCGGACATGGAAAATAGTGATCCAAAAGCGGCTCTCTGCAAGATGATTATTCTTCGATGCCTCCATGTCTCAAGTTTGACTCCTATTCACCATATTTGACATTATGATTTGCTAATCGCAATGACCATGTCAGGAACTCCATTCACTCGCCGCCCGCCCCCTCCCCCATGGTGTGACTCCTGGAAAAGTGAAGCTAGTCAGGTGTTCACTGATAATTCATCGTCTTCGGCTCACAGAAGAAAGCATAGTCATTGTTGGAAGGAAAAATACTTGACGCCTTCTGTAGCCTTTTGGCCTCCTCGGCGCTCGCTGCCGTCTTTATTTGCCCGGCGAAGAGCATTAGCGGTCCTATTAAGGTGAGTCGGGCGAAGGTAGAGAGTGTTCCTTGAGCAGCCTACGGAGGCCTTCGCTGTCTTTGATATCGAGGGCAAGATTCAAACGTGCCTTCATTGCGCTTGCGATGGCAGCGTGAAATGTATCAAAAGATTCGCAGTCGATCACCGGACGAAACGTGATGAAACGGAATGTTTGTTTTTGAGCCTGCATTCAAAATGGGGCTTTTTTTTTGTGGGCGGTTCTTTCAAACCACTAAGCTCTCAAGCGCTGAGGCTGTGGCTAGGTGCTAATTAAAGAGAAAATATCCTCAGGTGGAGAATATGATTCATGATTGTTGATTGGGTCCTCTTGGAATTACTGCGGTTATTATTTTGTCACAATTTCTACGGAAATTAAATGTGGTCGCTGTGTGCGTCCTGGCTCATTTCAGAATGACAGAGGAGTCAGGCGGGAGGAGGTAGAAATGTGTTGGGGAAACGCGACAAGTAGGAAGTAGGTCTGCTCGACTCATCGGTGACACGGCGTTGTCCAGTTAGTTTGCCTACGACTTCTACGGCGTGTCCAAAAGGTCAGAGTACGAAGGAGATTGGATTGTTCCCCTCGTTCACAGATGACTATTTACAAAATAGACCATCTCTAGGGCACATTTTCTGCAAAAGACTGATAATGGATCGATGTTATGCTAATCTGTGGTTATGATCATGAGCAGTTAATGAAGGAAAAGAGAAATAGGCGAGGTGTATGAAGCCCAGGTTGGGGGGGGGTGTCTAAGGCCGTCAGAAACGCAGCTTTGTTTAATTAATATTGAAATAATGACCTCCCACAGGCGTCGTCAGAAATGATGCATTCCGCGCGCCTTGTCTGGGATGAGTTGAATAGCCGACAGCCAGACAACAAACCATTTTGCACAAAATTGCACAAAAAAAGGACAAAAACAGCCCAAAGCTACCTCATGCTTAATTCTACGACAGAGCGGTAATGGAAACGCCGCCTCGCAACCTGGCGTCAGGAATTCAACCAATGAGACAGAGCGTGCAGCCATTTCAACGAGCGGACTTTCTTCTTCTTCGAAACTGAGCCCCAATCGGAAGCAGATGTGGGAAGGCGAAATCGCATGTGCCTTCTAATATTGGTGCCGTACGGCGACAAAGTTTGTCAATTGGATTGCCCCAAAATTGCTTGACGCTTTAATTGTATTTGAGTGTCGGAGAGTGCGGCTGCGTCAAGGGAGGTGTTGAAATGATTTCGAAATAGGTCGGCCCTTCTTTCTAATATCATTTCTTTTGGACTGCTTGAGTAGGCGCACGGGTCAAAAGGAAAGAAACGGGGAGTAGTCGCACACTCCTCTCGACATGCGTCACAGCTAATCGAGCACTCTATGGCAACATCTTGAGCATGCACGCCAGGAGAGGAAATGGAAATAGTTGCGAGGTGGCCGATTTACTGACCGGAACATCCAGGTCGGGGTTGGGACAAGGCGAGAGAAGTCCAGTCATGCTGAACACAAACGCTGCGAATCCACTGAACCTTGCCACACGTTTTTTTTTTTTTCCCCCCTTCGCACTCTTTTTCCGAGCTGCCAGACGTCTGGCGGTACGTTCGTAGCCGGATCGTCGTCGTTGCCTCAGCCAGCAGGCAGCGACTCTCTCCATCTTTTCGCTGAGTGTGTGTGTTGACTTTTAGGAAGCAATTATTTCAGCTGCCTGCCGGAGCTTGACACATAAAAACATAAAGATCCCCCCCCCCCCCCTTCCTCACCATTTTCTATCAACATGTACACTGCTTATTTTAACACTTCACCTGGTCTGAGAACTGTAGGACGTCTGCTGGTGGGCCTTTTCCATGGCGCTTGTGTTCGTGCTAGTTCCGGGTCAGTGCCCAGTTTAGCCCCAGTTATTTATTCCCCCCCCCCCCACCCCCCAAAAAAAATTTGGCTCGAGCTCCAGCTCTGGTGCTTAATGTGGCTCCAATTATTTGTTGGGCGAGGCTCGGGCACCAACTACGTCAGGGGGCGGGGTTATCGTGACGATCGCAGATGTAGAGGAATGACTCCTTGGACACAGGGAAGGTTTTGAACGGTGAACTCTGGCACCATTGCATCCTACCAGAAGAAAGATGGCCGATGGGTCCAGCTAGCACGCGATCTCCGACCGGCAGCCAACCTCGTGATCATCTACAATGATTACGAAAAATAGAAGTGTTTATTTTACTGATTGCAGTTCACTGACTGTTATATCCTACATGCAAGTATAATCCATGCGATGCTAAGTTGCCTAGCAGATGCTAACAGCGCATTATAATAAAAAGTGTTTTTATTATTATTCTAAAGAATAGCGCATGCGCTCTTGCGTAAACGTTGACGTAAGCAGTGGTGTTTGAACGCTTTGCGACTCCTACTTGGCTCTTTGCCGGCGGAAAACCAAACACGCTCTTCGAAAAAACTTGTGAAGCACCAACTCAGTGCAGCAGTGGCCCAGGCGCCAAATGAGCACCATTTTTTTTTTGTGTGGGGTTGGTGGGGGGATATAAGTGTGTCTTTGAAAGCTGCATCAAAAGGCCAGGATGAATGGAAGCAGTTCAGACGGGAAACCCCGCACCTTTTTATCTTAATTAGAAGCGAAGCAGTTGGATCCCACGGATCCAGTGTAAGGCTTGGCCGCCCTTCATACCTCCCACGGACACTCAAAGGCTCGCAGCGTCGTTTTTCAAAAGCGCTTCATCACCGGAGGCTTCATCCGACCTCCCGAAAACTTGCTTGTCAGGCTCAATGGCGACTCCAAATTCTCCATAGGGCTGAACGGGAGCGTGAATGGCTTTCTCTATATGTGCCTTGGAATTGGCAAGCGAGTCGCCCGCGACACGAATGGGCGTCAAACATGAATGTTTTAAAAAGTCTTCTTTTGTTTTGCAGGCGGCAACAAACTGAGGAACCAGCAGTTCCGTCTCAACTGGGCCTGGATCTCACTGGAGAGGAGTCACTACGTGGTGGACGAGGAGCTCAAGTTCCTGGAGGTGGTGTTGAAACGTCGAGGCTACCTGGGGGAGACCTCCTTCGTTAGTAAGTCAAAAGCCAGAACCCGAGGCAATACAAAAGCTGCATTCACACGTGCACATTTGTTTCGGCGTAGCGTCACAAACGAGCATTTGCTCTGGAGCAAATTTTTAAACCACCTCCCTGAGGTGGATCAAATTTGGTCCGGTATAAGCTCTTTAGTGGAGCTACGCCGGAGCAAATGTGCACGTGTGAACGCTCGACTGGATTTATTTCGGAGCTGCGTCGGACCAAACGTTGCCGTGTGAACGGGGCTAATGTCAGAACCAATCCAAAGAACTGGATGGAAAAACGGCATCCTCGATAATGATGGATCGAACGGTGTTTCTCCGCCATTCTTGAGCCGCGGCACAAATGTGAAAAAACAGTGGATGCACACTGTTGGTTAACCATATACCCCAGGGGTTTCCAATCACCGGCCCGTGGGCCATTAGCAGCCTGCTATCCATTTTCAGCGGCCCACGACATCATATCATGACAACGATCAGTTATTACCAAAACTGGCTAGCTCAGATGTATTTAATCTTCACGATTTTTCGTCTCTCCTTTCTCAAGAGCACTTTGAAAGAGTCATTCATGCCTTCGTCACATCTCGGCTAGATTACTGTCATGCACTTGACTTTGGAGACAGCCAATCCTCCATTAAGCGTCTCCAGTTGGTCCAGAATGCTGCTGCTCACCTCTTGACTGGCACTCGTAACAGCGAGCACATAACTCCGACTCTGGCATCCCTTCGCTTGCTCATCTTAGAGTTCTTTTGAAGATCCTATGTTTTGTTTTCAAATCTTTAAATGGCCTGGCCACAGCTGACCTCTCTGAGCTCCTCCGCCCCGACGCTCCTGCAGCGCGCATCAGGTCTGCGGACCAGACCCTATTTGAGGTACCGAGAACTAAGTGGGTTGTTGTTGTCTGAATTATTTTTGCTCCGTGTACAGCAACTTTGTATGCGGCGGTGGTTGTTTTAAAGTGCTCTAGAAATACACTTGAGTTGAGTTCAAAAGAAAAAAAAAAATCCATACTTTCTCAGTGAGAATGAGAGCAAGTTTTACGATACCGCTCAAGCTTTCCAAGAGAGTTTAAAGATTTGTTCTCCAGCTATTTTCAACACGTGAAATGGCTTCATAATGTGTAAAAACAGCAGACGACGTGGATGCAAAGCAACGGTATCCATTTGCGACATACTGTCACAGGCTTTCCGCCCGATAGCAACGATGGCATCTCTGCAGAGAGGAAGCAGTCGATGGCTAGCTCCTCATTATGAAAAAAGGAAAGAATCCCGGCGCCACAATGCACATTAGAGCCCGCGAGGGTAATTTGCTTGTGCCTTTTATGAGCCTACAAATATTATCCAACTCCAACACATGCACAACCCCTTAACCTCTCTCCACGGGCCGCCATTTACTCTAGAGATGCACAATAGCGCTCGGCGGACATCCCCGTGAGAGGTCACCTGCAATTGCTGACACCCAGCAATTTAGCGGCCGGAAACAAACAAACAATAAAGCTGCCAGAGACAGTTGGAGCCGCTTTTGTGAAGTCTCCCAACAGTGGAAGTTTACCTTGGATACCACTGTTTTGTTTTTTCTTTTCTTTTTTTTTTTTTTTAGGTGTCTATAGATTTAAAGGATCATTAAAATTGATGTTAAAGGTCAGATAGCGTGGCGTCATTAACAACCTCCCTCAGGCCCTCACACTCATGCTACGGTTCTGGAGGCAAGATGCAAATTTCTGACCTTTGTTCAGCTTGGCACACGCCTCACCCCACAATTCGGTCGCCGTTTGAAATAAAAAGCAACTGTTTCTGCGAGAATCGTTAAAAAAAAAAAAAAAAGTGTCAGGAGACTGCAGCTGACAGTATGGTGTGAATGTGGGGTGTGAAATTGGAAAAGCTCACTTCTAATTACTTATAAGGGAGCGGGGGGGTGGGGGGGTGAAAAGAATGTTACAAGTGAAAACACTGCGTGATGATCCCCGTGTGCTAGCCTCACAAATTAAAGCTAAACAAGGATGTGTATTTAAAGGACGTGGGCGGAAACTCAAATTGTTTTGATTATCCGGAGAGCGGCTTGCTCTTTTATTCATGCTTGCGTTATAAATGAAAGAAATTTCACTTTGAACTCGGCGCGCAGTCTGTATTCAAAACACGGTGAGGCTGCCGCATGCATTCAAATGCAGCAAATTGACTAAAATATTGAGACGTTCCTCCTAATCTTTCATTAATCAGTCAGAGTTGAGACGACATGACTTAATTACCCTTGCAACTGAATTCATATTTTTTTTTTTCTATCGATAGACAGATTGGACGACTTCAATTTGGTCCCCAAAGACACGCTCAGATGATTTTGGTGTGGTCCAAAAAGCGCGTCAAACACTTTTTGGACGATGGAAATTACCTTGGACACACGCCAATATTTTGTTGTCCTAGTTCATGTCACAATCGTGATTTTGCACAACATCCTTCCGAAATGGACATTTGTCCCAATACCTTTGTCCTTATAGTCAAGACTTTGTTCATCACCCATCCAAAGTAACAATCAATCAAGCACAATTTGGTGTTTTGGAGTGACTCAGAGAAACGCTTTAGGCCCACTAGTTTTTTTTTTAAAAACTTGATCTCTCCTCATCTTTAGAACAAGAATATCAAGTCAAAATTGGCTCTGGTCTTGCAACAGACCTCACAAAACAAACAACACTCCCCTCGGATACGCTCCAAAGCCCTCGTCGAAAGTTGTCCCGGAAGCATGAAAGCTGTTATAGCAGCTAACAATTTTTTTTCGCTTCCATTTTCACCTCCCGTTGATGGACCGCATCTTAATACTTGTGTTGCCCATATGGCATACGAGCCCTTTGTGGTCCGCAGCTCTCGTCAGATCAATGAAGAGTGAACGAGAACAAGTGAGAACAATAAACCTGCCGTCCGGTGATGGAAAGATCACAAACGTTGAAATCGGATAAGTCCGAACAATTTTGTCCTTATAAGCCCCTCAATGGCCATACACGTTTTTATGTTGTACATTGCTCACTAGATTGAGCGCGGCCTTGCATTTCCCCGGAGTGTGATTCGCCGTAAAGAAAATAACACCTATTTTTCCAAACAAAAGGTCAAACATCTGCGGACCCGACCAAATGATCAAACGTTTTGAGTTAAAACTGCGCTTGTACAAACACGCCGCCTCGGCCGATAATGACGCTAATCATTTCATGCGAATAACTATGGCCAATTTGCCTCCCTCGCTAAAATGAAGCGGCGTGTCTCGCCGTCATTTGTGAAAAGGCCGGCCGCAGACCAGGCTGCCATTAGAGTGCGGCGAGCGTCTGTCTGAGTCACCGCTGCCACGCAGGGAGCGTGCTAAAGTTTTCCGATGAATACGTTCTCTTTGCCAAGTCAAGCCCGCTACCCCCGGAGGGGGGATGCTAAAATGGAGCATCTTATCTCCGTCGGGCTGCGCGCGTGCCTCTTTGCCTCGTGTCTCCACTTACACATCAAAGTCGTTGCTTTTATTTCAAAAAGCAGGTGAATAAATCAGTTGCGGCGCCCCCCCCCCAAAAAAAAAAGTCAAAAATATGCATTTCCTGTGTGTAGCCTGCACACCTTTTTATTTTCTACAAGCGGAATTATTGAACATTTTCCTTCTGCTGATAATTCCTTGAGGCCCGAGCACCAACGGGCCCTCTTGAAATGGCTTTCCGTTTTCTTAAGATTGTACGTAGGTCAATGGAATTGTCTTTTGGTCGTTTAAACATCATCCAAAGCACATCAAATGTGATGGGAGTCATCAATTATGCTTTGAAGGATCAAAATTTGACTGACCCCAAAAAATGGCTCACCACCGTTTCACCGTTTTATTCCACCTTCTTGAAATTGTTGAGAATTGACCTTTGTGCTCAAACAGTTGAGATCAAATAAACAAGTAAATATGCCCAAAGATGCCTAAAAAATGTCTGAAGACCCCCATTTCCAAAAACCAGCAGGCAGTCCACATCAAGCTTTACTGTTTTTTTTTTTTCCGGCATTTGTGGCTGCCGGGATAATTGCTCTGCGGTGGGCCGCCATGTTTACTGCCAAAGCCCTGCGACGTGTTGTTGGGTCAGTTAGAAGAGACAATGAAGTCGGTGTGTGACATTTTAGTGGCCTCGGCGCTCCCGCCACCAGCGCCACGGCGACAGTCAAACGGCTCGCGCGCTGTCAAGTCAAAGACACGCTGAAGGTCAAACACGGGCCTCCGGACTGAGGAGGTAGATAATTGGCTTCAGCTCGACCGTAACCATCTGAGACACGCAGCTTGGGACTGAAGATGGGCAGATGTCGGCCCAACTTTTGACCAATGGAGGCGGCGGCGGGACTCGGCCCGGTTTTATTGATGCGTTTCTTTATGACGAGCGCAGCAGTTGAGAAGCCGGCGGCGTTTTTAGGTGACAAATGTTGTTGGGCGACCAACCACTCTACTTTCGGTTCCAACGACAGCATCATGAGCGACGCATAAACAGTGCACCAAAAGTTACGATTTCTGCGCATCTCCTGGTTTTGAGGTGACGGTTCCATCAATGAAATTCGGACTTGTTAAATTTACATGAATATGAAACTGAAATGGAAATCGCGAGCAACAGACCCTCCAATAAATGGAGGTTTCTTCAGAAATAAAACTATTTTTTACAATAAATAAAAACATTCCAAAACAAAATGGTTCAGCATAATTCTCAGTCATTTTTATTTTATTGTGGCAAAAAATAAATCAATAGCGAATGCTCACAGCTTGTTGTTTGTGTCCTCTGCAAAGGCATCGGCACCAAAGACGGAACGGCCCTCAAGGATAAAGATTTTCGCGGCAAAGCTCAGAAGCAGGTGCAGTTCAACCCGGGTCAGACCGCCGCCACCTGGAAGGTCCGCATCCTGCCAGATAGCGAGTACGAGGTGTCCGAGGCCTTCCAGATTGTCCTCTCCGAGCCCGTGATGGCCGTCCTTGAATTCCCAGAGGCTGCCAGCGTGGAGATTGTGGACCCTTCTGACGGTCAGTCACTGGATTTTACCCTCGATATGCCGTCTTTTTACAACCAGACGGCGCACCGTATTAAAAGGCGTCGTGTCAGTTACCGGTGCTGCGTTTAACAGATACACAAGATGCAATGTGTTAATGGACACAGGCATGGTAAAACGTACGCTAGCTTAAATGCTAGCATGCTAGCGTGTGTTTTTAAAAAGCCAGTGGGAGCAAAACTGAGTTCGGTTGTACTTTATTGAAGTATTTAACAATGTACTCGCGTTATTTTTGGATCAATCCTCATCATCAACTCCATCAAAGTCTTAATCTTCCGTATCCGAAATGAACAGCTGGGCAAGTTCACCATCAAACACGCCTGGCACCTATTGGGGGCGTGCTCCTTCGCGCCCCCCACTTCCCACTTTAACGTACGCACGCTGTCCTCAGTTACGTCCGCTTTCCTCCAAATATGCCGTGTGTGTCGGCACATCAGTCGGTCAAGCAGACCCGTCATCGAAGACACGCAACAGCATTCACAGATTTTGGAATTCGGTGCGCACACGACGAAGCGCTCCATCCTCTTTGTGGAAAATTTAAGACTTTGATCTGCGTTTTATAGTCGTGATCACATGGTTTTCTAACCGTTGTCCGACTGCTGTCTTTTATTACAGGTACGTTCATCCTTGACTTTTGAGGTTGGTTCGAATTTCCAAATGAGCTTGTTTGAGTTGCGTCCGAATACGCAACGCTCACGCGGCACAAGAGGGCAAATTCAGTTCCCGTTGTGACTCGCTGATTTTAATCTGGATTATTTTATATTTACAACCTACATTTCTTTTTTCATCGTACAAATATTTCCTCTAGGTGCGTCTATCTTACTGCATTAGCGTAGGCAGCCTTTAGCAGTGCAATCCGGGATACGCATCCTGAAGTGGAGTTTGACGTCAGAGCCATTTTCAAGCACTTAGCGCTCAAGTGTTTCAGGTCAAATGCATTGTGTGCAGGTCGGGCCACCTCACCACTTGCAATCATCGCGTGTATGGCGTCGGTTGAATGCAGCGCGATCGCATAGAAGTGACTTGGCAGCGAGCGGCAATCACACCCTAGAGTGCGTGCAACTTCTCTTTGGGCGGCTTTCTGCAGCAAAATGACCCAAGCCGAAGAAATAACAATCGGATTTTATGCAAAGCATGAGATAGGACCTAAGTAGAAAAGTCATCAAAGTGAAACGATAACTCAAGGGGCATCCTGACTTTGGCCAAGGACTTTAACTTAAGATTCCCCACTCCCCCCCAAAAACCAGGGATTACTTGGAAAACGCTTACATCCATCTGGCAAAGGCCACGTGAAATCTCGAAGCCATCTCAGGGGTGTCAAACACATTTGTGTCGCGGGCCACGTTGGCGTTCTGTCTTCCCTTGAAGGGCTGTTATGACAGTGAAACCCCCAAAAATGTTTACACGACAAATTAATGGATTATTACTTTTGTAATTTACTTGACTGACAAGTGAGCGTCAGGAGGGTAGCAAAATTATTTCGAAATCTCAACATTATTTATCACATGTGACAATTTGAGATTTCGGGACCGATTTTAGCAAGGATCATGCAAGTTGACACATGATTTGCTTTCGCGGGCCGCATAAAGTGACGCGGCGGGCCGCATCTGGCCCCCGGGCCTTGTGTTTGACACCGAAACCTAACCCAGTAGCGCATTACACCCAGTACACGCGTACCCACAATCGGTCCACGCTCGAGCACGTTCCTTCAATCGCAAAGGCCCCGATTATCAGATTTGATCTTCTCCCAGAAAGGAGTTGACGTTTGAAGTTGGAAATCGGCACGTGTGAAACCCGCTCGAAACTTCACGAGCCTTTGGGAAGAACCGGCAATCTCGAGGATGTGAATCATAATCAGACCACATTAGGGTCAGGCTTTCATGGTGTCGAAATGCGGGGCACGGCTCGAAAAAAGAAAAAAAAAACGGCCGCGAGGAAGTTCAGATAACCGGCGCCGCTTTAGCATGTGGAGCGGTCATGGAATAAATATGGGAGAGGTGCTTCTGTAAACACGAGTGCTTCGGTGGGGAAAAGTGCAGCGTATAAATATGCATTTGCAAGTCTCCGGGGACTTTGCCGGCTGCAACAGGCAAGATTGACTGTCAACAATTTATGCTAATCAACATGTTTAGTTGCTAGTTTGTCCGCCGCAACATCGGGCCTCTGGCGGGTGGACAATCGCCAGGCAATATGTCGACACGGGTTCGTTATCACCTGAGGAAATTTTTTTTCGATTCGTTTTGGCAGCTCAAGGAAAAGGAAAACGAAAACACTTTCTACTGTTTGTTTTCTGGCACCTGGAGGTGTTTTGTGTTGTCGAGGTCCCGTTCATGTGCACGATGATGACTGAAGCCCACACGAAAAGTGAAACAAAGCCGCAAGAGAGAAAAGTCATGCATTGTGATTGGCGTGCTTAATGAAGACGTATTTGTTTGTCATCAACATGTCTGTGACAAGCTTTTGTCAAACTACTCCCAAGATAAAGAATTTCCAGCACTCCACTAGGCATTACGTAAGTCTTGTGAAACTCAGCCCATTTTGAGGGGGCGGTCCTGTCTCGTGAAAATTGCTTTTGTTACCATGACAACCAAGGACCAGAGGGGAGGCAGTTCAAGTGGCTTTTGCTTGGTGAAGTGGAGCCAACGGGGATGAAAAGTGCCTGTAAAAAAATGATCAAGGCTTGGTTAAGCTCCGGCACGCCCACGACCCTCGTGAAGATGACGCCAATTCGAAGGTGGATGGTAAAAGGTTTATTGTGCAAGCTTTGATAGGTCAAATTTTAAAACAGAAGAAATGAAAATTTCTCATGTACTGTACTACAAAATACCATAGAATGTATTTGGGACACATAAGGCCATCTGGAATTAAAATTTGCTGTTGACCATTGTAAATGATTACTCGAATGTACCAAACATTATTACAAACAATTATTCAATAGAATAAAAAAAAAAAAATCATGAATCATCTGTTCCCTAAAACTGCTATTGATGTCTTTTTTTTAAATTTCATCTTGGAAGAACACGATTCATGAAAATCTGCCGATAATTGACATTCCCTAATATTACACGAATGTGCCAATTATTACAAACAATTATTTAATATAATTAAAAAAAAAACATGAATCATCTATTCCCCAAAACTGCTATTTATGGGTTTTTTTTTTTTTTTCATCTTGGAAGAACTTTGCTTGGTCCACGATTCATGAAAATCTGCCGATAATTGACATTCCCTAACATTTGTATTTGAGTAACCGTAAATTTTCGTATCGATCCCGTCGAAGCAGTGTGCTGCAGCTACGCGCCCCGTATTAAAACTGCACGTTCATAACTGGAATGAAATTGAAACATGAAGTCGTCTTTTCCCTTCCATGCCGGGAGTAAATGTTCCGTCGACGGAACATCCATTGGCGTGCATGCGCGTACAGCATCGAGGAGGACGTCGGCGAGCTGATGGTGCCAGTGAGGCGCAGCGGCGATGTGAGCCAGGAGCTCATGGTGGTCTGCTTCACCCAGCAAGGTAAAAGAAATGGTGGGAGAGTGGATTTTTTTTTTGGGGGGGGGGCATGCAAATGACTTTAGATGATGATGATTGTTATTATTATTATTTCAAGGGTACGGAGCCCCTAAAGTGATATGGATGAAATCCTCGTCGTAACGACAAACGCATTCTCCCCTCCCCCCCCCCCCCCCCGCCCGCCTCCATGTCACTTTAGGAGCTCCGTAGTGTGGAGCCTTCAGCACATGATTTGTCCTGATTGTTGTGAAAAAAAAAATGACTGCATAATATCTAAAATAGACACTGGCACTCTCGAACTTCCAAGAGTAATAACATCTTCCAAAAGTTTTCGGACATAAAACCGCCAAAGTCGGGCTGGTGACCATGTTATGGGACACATGAGGAGCATGAAATAAAAACAAAGCCATCGAGGCAGACATCACGCCGGAACGTAAAAGAAAATAAGAAAAAGAACAACAAGCTTGTTTAAACCTCCGGTTATGTTCAATCCGAAGGAACAAGTTTCAGAAATGCAATAAAAAAAAAACAAAAAACAATCTCATGATTAACTCCACACTAAGACTTCCATTGCAAAATGCGAAATGAACTATTTTCATTTCAGTTAGTTAAACCAAGTCGACAATGTTTGCACTTTTAATTTTAACTCAACAAAACAGGAAGTCTAAACGTGAGCGCAAAAAAAAAAAAGAAATTCATTGCAAACCTTGAAGAAATGAGCTGTTAGCCAAGTATTCCCAGTTACAATGGGATGAAATACAAAAGCTAATGTTCTTGGGTCAATTTGACCCGACATGTTTGATTATCTCGAAGTGCCTGAAAAAAAGGGAAATTCCGTCATGAATTCCATGACCAATCAATTTTTGGGTTTTTTTGCATATGTTGATCACGCCAAGCAGAAGTGATTCATAGTTTTACATATGGGTCAACTTGACCCGCATCACTAGAGCAGAGTTGCACTTAAAAATGTGAAATGTAAATGGGATAAACTAAATGGAGACGAAGACAAACCACTGAAGCCCAGCTGTGAATTTATCAATAATGTTCGTGGCTCCATTTTTTTTACAATCCAAAAGTCCCAGAAAGGGCAAAAAAAATCCCACTACTTGCTTCGCATTTCACTGGAAATTGGTGAAGCGAACTTGATAATGATGTGATTGGGCCAAAAAAGAAAACGGATTCCATTGACTCCTCCGAGGTCTGAGTGTGAACTGCGCCGATCATTAGCGGTAATTGCTGTGTTTTTGCCGGCCTCAGGGTCAGCCACTGGCACGGTGCCCACCACCGTGCTGTCGTACTCGGATTACATCTCGCGGCCGGAGGACCACCACAGCGTGCTGCGCTTCGACAAGGGTGAGGTGGAGAAGCCGTGCCGCGTGGTGATCATCGACGACTCGCTCTACGAGGCCGAGGAGAGCTTCAACGTCACGCTCAGCATGCCCATGGGCGGCCGCCTGGGCGCCCGCTTCCCCGGCGCCACCGTCACCATCGTGCCCGACATGGACGACGGTAAGCCCCCCCCCCCAAAAGATAAAATAATAAAAATGGTCATCCACCAAAAGAGAAGCGAACTGCTTGATGGTGGTTGAATTTTCTATTGCATCAGCGTTGCCTGCTGCACCCATATTAGCATGTCTTTGATGTGCCGCGCGGTCATCATTTATATTTACATAAACTAACAACGTCGCTTTTTGCCAAGGTTTTAATTTTGGCTACAATGAAAGTGATAAAATTATGGATTTTTTTTTTTTTTTGGAGACAAAATACGCTGCGTTGTTTTGCGGAGAAACTTGCCTATTCACTTGTTTGTGGCCAAAGCTTTGTCTCAAATAAATATCGCTTCGGCACTATCGGTTGGCATTTTGTTGCCCGGATGCTATGTTGGAATGAGGGGAGGAGCTTCATGTCGTCAGGCCGTAGCTTTGTCTAATACAGAAAAGTGCTTTGCCTGCCATCTTGTGGCATCTAAAGGCAGTTACAAACAAAACTTTTTGTGTGGGAATATTGGCATAGGTTTCAACTCTTCTAGACAATCAAAATCACTTTTTGGTGTGACCCCTGCAATTCGTGGAAATTTGCTCTTTGCAGTCAGCTTCGGTCTTGTTCCCCCATGAAGAGTGAGGGTCCACTCTGTCCTTATCCCCCGTGAAGAGGGATTCATCGTGCCACCTTTCAACTTTCTATTCGTCCACCGGATTGGACAAATCTTTACTAGTGAAGCGTGTCGAAACATTCAGGGTTTTTTATTTCCGTTTATTTTCTACAAGGATGCTTTACATCTGAAAAAGAAGTGTGCGTGTTTGTGCATGTGTGTGTGTGTGTGTGTGTGTGTGTGTGTGTGTGTGTGTGTGTGTGTGTGTGTGTGTGTGTGTGTGTGGGCATGTGTCTGGCTTTTTGATGATGTAAATGCTAATAGCCTTGATGGTAAAACTCATTGCATTAGCATTTTTAGCAGGTGTTGGCGTTTGAACTTGATGTATGGCAACGTGTTGTTGTGTAAGCAGGTTATGGGAGGCTGCCAATTTTGGTTCCCAGGGACACGCGTGTGATAATATTTAGATGTAGATGGAAAAAAAAAACCACGCTAATTTCAAGCAAAAGTAACAAAGTCAAGCTGACAGTTAAGCGTCACAGCCATCATTTTTTCCTGATGATTGCAATTCCACGGATTCTGATTGCAATCAGATGCCATCGCCATCATGCAAAAAAAAAAAAGGCCCGGCGAAACTCCTGGAACCGAAAGCCGGATCATCTGTGTGATGATGCAAAACCAAAGTTGGCGCCGCCTCGTCAATTCGGGCTGCCAGAAAGTCGTGATCGTCACAAACTGCGTCTTCTTATTGCAGCCCCGCTGGCTTACGTCCAACCTGCTACCTGCACAACAAAGCCGCCGTCTGGCTAGCTAACGGGCTTCAGACGGCGTAACAGGTTCCCATGGAAGTCCGGCTTCGAGTGGATTTGTTTGACCTACTTAAGTAGTGAGGAGGAGGGAGTCGACGTGACGGGAATGCGGCGTTCGCTGTAACCTGAGCGGCGGTGAACACGGGGGCATTGTGGCCTCTCGGGACAGCTGTTGGAACGCCGCTAAACCTTTTTCGCGGGATGCGCGGCACAGCTCAATTTGGGCAGATCCTCCTTGACTGAGTGAGGTCACGCTTTGGAGACATCATTCATTTTTCTGGTCGTTATTTATTGTTTTGTTTGTTCCCGTCTTTTTTTTTCATGGCACTGAAAAACACTACTTAATGGAATTAAAGACTGTCTCGTTGGACGATGGGGCTTGCTATTAGTTTTGGACTTTGTATGCGAGAAGATCATCGTGTAAGATCAGACGAGGCGCCGGCATTCCTTTCGCAATTTAGCGACGCATCAAGGTGGTGCCGCAGTACCCTGTGATATATGGAGCTGCAATTCATTTTATCCTTTTGGCATTCCAGCTTGGCAGTGTCATTTTTGTCCTCTTTTTGTTTTTCGGGTTCCGAATGGAGCTTTGATCGCGCTGATTTGTGAGGCTTCAAAGCGAGCCGACGGGAGCCTCCGCGCCAGGATTGTTAGCGACCGACACATCGCCGGCTAATTTAATCGGCCGATATTAACTCACACATCCCAATGTCAGGCAAAGATAATGACATTCAAACCCATTCAAATATCGTCCGTTTTTTTTTTTGCCCCCCCCAAAAAAATTCAACAAATACCGAAGCATTAAAGTGCATTCAAATGTACTCTTCGGTTTCTGAGGTAACACTCTTATTGTTGATAGTTGTTTGGTTTATCAGTTTAGGAAATATAACAGGGAACGATGCCACTATAAGGAGTCCGCTAGACGGCATGGCTCTCTTTTTGTCTAAATGGCGCTCGCCAGCTTTTGCGTTTGAACTTCTCGGCTGTGAATCTAAAACAATCAAAGGAAATGCAGTCAAGAAGACGGACGGTACCTGAGCGTGCTCGTTTGCCTCACATCAGCACTCCTCACTTCGCAGCCCTCTACTGCAGGGCCGTCTATGAGTACGGCTTTTGTTACCATGACGATCAGGGGCCGAAACGCGGGCTTGCAAGGAGGTAAGCGGCAACTAGTTGTGCAGCGGTAGCCCGGAATATGAAGAAGGGGCGCCCAGACAGAGTCAAATCATCACTTGCGGTATTTTCAATCATGGCGGCGGCACTTCATCAGCAGGCTAATTACACTGGTCCATTAGTGTCACAGATCTGCGCATGCAGTGGACACTTCGCTGAACACAATCCGCCAAAACTTCGCTCACGGGCACATTTTCCGACACGCTCACCGAAGATTGACTGGGTTGCGTAATTTCACACTTGATGGGTGGGCAGGCACTCCAGAGACACGTGAGCACACGTTTAGTTCCGCTCTCATTGGCTCTTCGTCGGAACTAAACGGTCGTTGCTAATTAAATGAAATGTGTACACCTAGTACAAAAAGACTCCCTTACGCCGCTCTTAAATGGTATGCTTTTTTGGTGATCGGAGAGGTAGGAGCTTTCAGATTCTAATAGAAAGGTCCTCGGATTACGACTGCACTGATTTTTATTTTGGGGGGGATAGAGGGGGTACCTTGCCTCCATTGTTTGCTCAAATGTTTGCCAATTTGGTGCTTTGGCACCTAATTGTGGCATTGTGCTACCCAGGGACTATGTTGAAGTTAGTGGAGGAGCTTCAGTTAGTCAGGCCGTTGCCTACAGATGCCTCGATAGGCAATTGCAAAACTTTTTTTTGTGGGCTTGAATAACTGCGTTGCTGGAAAAAAAGAACTACCCGCCTCCAGATGCCTCGATAGGCAATTGCAAAACTTTTTTTGTGGACTTGAATAACTGCGTTGCTGGAAAAAAAGAACTACCGTAGTTATTTTTTGTTTGTTTGTTTTGACTGAGGAATTTCCTTGCGTCCCAACGACGCACATTAATTGGAAAGAGCGTAGCGGGATGGAGGAAGACGGACCGTAATTGGATGAACTCCTCTCAGACTGACAACAGGCATGATTGCTTTGGTTTGGTCCTCTTCCTGTATGTGCAACCACATGTTCCTACGCCCCCAGGCTGTGCGTGTGTAAATGTGTGTGTAATGCCCTAAAAGTGTGCGCATGTGCCGCTGATTGGCAGTCATCTGACAAGTCACGGTACGCCACTGCTAAGCAAGCGGAGGCCTACGGTGTCGATAACGGCGCACCCCAACGATGCGGCGCAGGGTTTGCTTTCCGAGCGCCTCGTTCAGTCCCGCTAACTAGCACACCTTCGCCCACCGCAAGGGTGTCATTAAAATCTGATTTGTTTGGCACTCGTACCGTGGCCCGGGATCTGAGATTTGTGGCTTCCAGGGAAGTTTCCGCCGGCGCGAAAGATGGCACATTGGTTGTCTGTGGGAAACAAACTGCCAAATGAACAAAGGGACCGCGGCGTCGCCTCGAGTCTGTCAGTCGGAATGTAATTGTCATCGGGGCGGCGCCGCGGCTGATTTGCAACATCGCCCCCCGCGACAAAACAAAGCGGCGCTCTGATTGTGAGGCGTCACGCAATCGCAAGTCTTTGTTTTAAATACTTCAAACCGCTCGCACCCCCATTTACATATCTTAAGGCCTCCGACTTTACTCTGCGCGCTATAGACTGCACAGATTTGGCCGGGGTGGGGATTAAAGGAGCCCCGCGGATCATTACGGCTCTCTCGGGGTAATCCGCACGTTCGATCCGAGGAGTCACAAGGACATTGTGAAGTGCAGAGGCAAAGAAAGTGTCCAAGTCAAAGAGAAAACATGAAGTGGGAGACATCCGTGTGTCTCCAAAGAGCGAGGGAACCAAAGACCAAAGGGAATGGAAAAGATGATCGTGTAATTAGCAAGAAGCGCAGTTTGTGTGTGTGTGAAGGTCACGGACATGACATTCAAGTGCGCATTTGATGCCATCAAACGTACAAATAGAGGACTGAGCCAATGTCTGAGCCAAACTGTCATGATTTCTCTGAACCTTTATTCATACGCGGCAAGAAAACTGACTGAAGGAGTAAGCACGTTGGTGGTGGTTTTCGAGCGCAAAGACTCGCGACGCAGTCAAGTCAATCGTTCGTTGCGCCCGTGAAGAAAGACCCGCGAGGTCGTTCAGAGGAAAGGCGAACGTCCTTACGTGGTTCGAGTAAATTGTCAAGCAAAGACGATGGAAGACAAGACAGCGTCGACAAAAGTCCATCACCCTGACTTTTAATCAAACAGTGTCCAAAGATTCAGGTGACAGTCAAGAAAAACGTCGATCGTCATTTCTTTGTTTTAGTAAAATGACGGGCAAAAACAGCAAAGACAAAAAGTCAGTCCCCCGTAGTCTTTATTTAAGACTCGCAAGACATTCAAGACCCAAGTCGACGCTTTTTACTTTGTGGTAATCAACCGCCGAGCAAATATAGTTGAAAAAACAGTCGATCGTCGAGAAGACAAGATGAAAGCCAATCGCCGTGACTTTGTCTTAATAAACCGACAAGCGAAGGCTCGCGAGAGAACTGAAGAGAAAAGTCGATCACCCTAACCTTGTTTTAATGAAACCGACTGACCATTGATAGATTCGGTCACGGTGCCATCGTTTCGTCTCGTCAGTACGGCACGAAGTGCGCCTTCAACCGCCTTTGCCTCAGTTCACCTCCTGCCGCATCTTGGAAACTTACGCTCAAGTCCGAGCAGCCTATTGCCCGCCTGGAAAACCCGAGCCGCGGTCTTGGCCGCCGCGTTTACAAGCGGCTCGCTCGGATGGACGGCCATCCTCGGAATAAGGCTCGGGCTGCCGGCCGCGAACGGCCCATCTGTGCTCGAAGCGCTTTCTCGGCAGACCTGCCCTTTCTTGCTGAGGTAATTACGCTTGGATATCGCCTCTGCATCCGGATGCGTGTTTAGCTGCTGTCGGAACGCTTGGAGAACAAGACGCCACTTGCGGCGTTTATCGTCCGCTTGGCAGTTAATTCTGCTCCAGGTTCTGAAGGTATGATTATGACTTGCCATGAAGACAGTGTGTTGCTGTGTGTGTGTGTGTGTGTGTGTGTGGTCACTTGCGGCGTTTATCGTCCGCTTGGCAGTTAATTCTGCTCCAGGTTCTGAAGGTATGATTATGACTTGCCATGCAGACAGTGTGTTGCTGTGTGTGTGTGTGCGTGTGTGTGTGTGTGTGTGTGTGTGTGTGTGTGTGTGTGTGCGGGAGGCTCCGGATGGGAAAGAATTGCAGACTGTTATTATTCCTCCCCTTCAATTTGTAAACAGATGTCCAAAGCACTTAAACGTACTGACCTGTTTTCAACAAAGAGTCAATCGCCCGAAAGACTCAGCGAAGGCGAAAATGCTCTTGACTTGTTTAAATGAAGCGTTGAGTCAAGCGTCACGGCCAATGGCGAGTGTTTTGCCCTGACTTTGTTTCAATAAACCGATAAGCCGTGAAATATAATAAATATAAGCTGTGAAAAAAATAAAATACGACCGCGGTGACGACAGGAGTCAATGGCCCTGACTTATGAGAAGCGGACTCCCAAGACGGTGACGTAACCCAAAACAAAAAGTCGCTCATTCTTGATATGTGTTTTGGAGATGGTGACGTACTTTTATTTTAATAAACGGACAATTTGAATGCTCTTTCTTTGTCTTCGTTTAAAAAAAAAACAACAAAAAAAAAAAAAAACATCGAGCAAAGAATCACAAGACGCTAATTGTTCTTTGTTTCGATGAAGCACCTGGACATTGAACGCAATGTTGAGTGCAGATCATTCACTGAAGAGGCAACATTGAGTTGCTCTATTCGCAAGGAAATGTTGAATTCGGCAGATTTCGACGATCGATACAGCCCAAGTTAAATCAAGTCGCAGCTTGCGACACATCGTCACAAAGCGGAGAATTATCGTCAGCGGTCAAAAAGATGATTCAGATCCAAAAATGGGGACAAATGAAACTTTGATCTGTATGACGCATTGGCCGGAGCTTGCTTTTTCCAAACTCGAGTGCCTCGTTGTCATGCAAAGTTGACTTTGCCGGAGCAATCTTAGTCTGGAGCACCGAGTGGGCGGGGGGAGCTCCTGCCAGGGTTCAATTGAATCTCGCCATTAGAAAAGCCACTTAGCACCGTGGGGGGTGTCACGTAAAGTTCAAGTGGATTCAAGCACCCGGTCGACAACCCCTCCGGGGGACGGATGGATGAATGCGTGCCTGCTTTCCACTTTGTTTCATGTCCGCACGTATGCGGCAGGAGAATTATTTCCTGTGACAATGCTAATCGGGCACCGACATCAAAAGCAATTTCACTTGAATGGAACTCTCACCGTACAATTCCTTCTAAACGGTCCTCCTGTCGTTTTTACCCGAGCAGCCTTTTGTCTTTTGGTGAAGCAGCATGTGGTTTTTTGGTGACTCAAGTAGGCTTTTTTTCCAAGTCAAGAATGATACGTTTGAGATCTCGATTGTTTGGTAGAAAGAGTGACCGCCTTTGTCTTGGCCATCATCTGGCGTGCGGCGTTCCGTCGTCTGCTCCGGAATCAACTCGACACTTTCTCCACAAGGAACAATAAGAATGGAACGGGAAGTTTTTTTCCTGAAGTTGTTTTTAGAATTAATGAACATTCCTCTCATAATTTGCAGCCTCGCCCGAGGTCTAAATGCGGATCATCCGCGTTCACGCTCAGGTAACTGGAGACGCTCTGCGGGGTTTACCTTTCACTTAATGAGTCGTCGCTCTTTGAAGCTCCCCGCCGCCGTTGCCGGCGATAAGCCGCGCCGAGCTCCCTCCGGCTGCCAGCCTCAGTCTGCTACATGATCTGATTACTCCTGGTGTTGGCGGGCGGATGCAGGCGGCCCAAAGCGTCTTTGTTTGCTTTCTCTGCGGGGGGAAGCAATCTGGCACCTGTCACAACTCTTGATGCGGGGTTCATTGTCCTGCCAAGCTTGCGGCGACAGACGCCAGCGCCGCTCTTTTTCGTCCTGTCGCGGGCGCATCCGCCGGGCAGATGGTACGACTTACACGTGGAAATGCCAAGGATTTACCTTGAACGTCTCCGTTACCTCTTAGAAGGAAAAAAGTTCTCATAAATGGCCCTATCAATGGCGCTTGCGTCAAATACGTGTTGAACTGCGTCGTAAGTGTGCTGAGTAAAAATCTAAGGGTGTTCTCTACCTCGCTTTCAATGATGAGCGGCAATAATGCCGAAGGAGATTACCACTTGTGCTTTGGAGGGGAGTCTCTACACATAGAAGCAACTCACTCTCCAGGGTATGGTTATTTTATCTTATTTTTTAAATAGTATCCACAATTTCTTCATCTTGTACTGCTTTGTAAGTCGGACCTGTACAATGACTTTTGAATTAGTTCATTGTGTGCGGAATGCGCAGTTGTCCGTCACCAATTGATGCGAGCACAGTAGCAAAGTCACGATTAGTCAAAATCGTAAATCCTCTCTCCATCACGCACGCCCAGTCTGCGGTCCTTGTTATTTCACAGAGCATTTTAATACCTATTTTCTTTGACCTCTTGTTTATTTTGAATGTAATGACAGACCACGAGACTATTTGGTTTGAGATGGTGTCAATTTGAAAGCAAGTTTTTGTTGAAAATGTTTTTCCTCTGTAATCCTGCTTTTTACACCTCCACAAAATGATGGCTGTCTATTTTTATTTATTTTTTTCCATCTTTGGCCGTGGATATTGATGTATATTGTACAATAAGTTTGTTAGCTTGGAAAAAACTTATTTTTTTGACTGTAAAAACAGGGATCTGCCCACTGGTCACACTGTACAATAATTTTGTGCTCTCTCTTAATGTACGTATTTAAATGTTTCAATTTGGATTTTTTTTCCCCTAATGTGTTTAAAAACCTTTAAAAAAGAATGATGTCCCATAAGTGTGATAAAAACATGCCTCGTCGTATTTAAATGGGGAATTCCGATATTGTGCATTTCATTTTATTTGGATGGCTGCTCCTGTGATGGAGGGCAGCCTACTGTAGTTGTTTAGAGAAAAAAAAAAAAACAACCTTCTAGGCCATAAATATGAGGCGATCAGTTGGAAAAACCGTAAGCATGGCCCTAAGTGCCTTCTTGTGCCACGTTTCCTTACGCCAGCGTGCGAACTCTTTCATTGCGCGCTGTTTGGAACCTGGAAAGAAGCGCGGCGGCGTGCTTGGACAGAGCACGCAATCCTATCTGTGACAGTTATCGCCCATGTCTGGCAAAATGATGATCTCTCTATTTGCTCTCGTGCTCGGCTTCCCTCAGAGAACCCAATCTTCACACAGCCGCTGTCGTACTTTATTCAACGCTCTCTCCTCCTCCCACGGCGGCCCCCCCTTATCCCCTCCCCTTCACTCAACCCCACTCGTCGCGCACACATCGCCACCGTTGAAGTAGCCTCTCCTAGGTGCTCGGTGCCATTGTCATGGAAACAACAACTCTGCCCATGGCCGTCGCCATTCATTTCATTGCGTTTATTGCCTCGTCTTTCGCCGTGGCCTCCTCCGATTTGTCGTCGCCGGTGATGCATTACGTGCCTCTCGTCAATGAGAAAGAAACACGTGGGCTTTGTTCCTTGTGGCACCGCGTTGGAGAGCAGACGACGCCCAGCCGTTTGGGCCGGTAGAACCGTTTCAGATAGATTGGTTTGGTGACCTGAAATCTTTGTGTGAGCTAAATGTGCAAAGAACACAGAAATCAGGAAGGGGCCAAATACTTTTTCACGGCACTGTATGTTCCGTACCGGTAATGTAAATTTTGGTGCTTGCAGATGTAAACCCCCCCTCCAACATGATTCCAGGAAGCAAGAGAGTCCTACTTAAAGCGCTCCAATTACAGTGTGCCCTTTTAAAAAACATTTCCTTCATTTCTCCTGTAATCAGCGGCATTCTTACGCAGCAGACGCTGTTGTCGGGCAGCCAAGAGAAGATTACAGCATGCGTCGCGTCCTGATGTGCGCTTCCGTCCTTTTTATTTGTATTTTTTTGCAGCCCCCATCTTCTACTTTGGCGACAGCGACTACCACGTGGATGAGAGCGACGGCTTTGTGGAGGTGCGGGTGTGGAGGACAGGAAGCGACCTGTCCAAAGCCGGGACCGTCACTGTGCGCTCCCGAAAGACGGATCCGGTCTCGGCGGAGGGTACGTGTCCGGGCAAGGTTTTAGCTTTAGGTGCTTCACTAAGTGAAATGTCAACAATAGGCTCCGGTTGTCACCCTTTGTGGCCGAAAGGTGCTTTCAAGGCTGCAAATGCGGGGTGACTGACCTGTGGAATGTCAACAAAGCCCAAGGCTCCGTGTTAGGCCCTTCTCTTTTTCGGAAATGCACCCTTTTGTGTGATTGAGAACGAACGAAGCTTTCGGAATTTCTTCCGATTGTTGATTTGCACTTCAACTTTGAGTTGCTGTCTCCTCCAGCGTTTCTCACAGCCGCTATTATCTCATCCCTTCAGGCTCTTATTCCTCCCCCGCCGCCGCCGCCGCCGCCTTCTCTCGCTCAGACTCCCTCGACTGCATCTTAACCTCGCGAGTAACTAACCATCTAATCGTATGCAAACGCTCGCTCGCTCACTTTTGGGTCGGTCGTAAGTACATGAGGAAAGCCCGTGGGCGGAGGCCGGCCTCATCTGAACCGGCTCTTCAAAGCGAGCGTGGAAACGAGGATATTCGCATGCAGGTCAAAGCACCAGGTGGCGCTAGGACTCCAGGCTATTTTTAGACCCATGATATAAAAGAAACCCTTTTGATTCCAAACAAAATTTCCCATTGACAGTTTTTCCCATTTGGAAACTTTTTTCAAACAATTATTTTATTCAGTTATTCAACTCATCATAAAAGCTGCCCAAATTGACTTTCGTGGCAATGCTTTGAAGCGCGCTAGCATGGTCACGTTAAGAGAGCAGAATGCAAAACGGCGTTCTTCATGTGTGTAAACGGGAACAGATTTTATGACATTTGAAATCAAACACTTCACAGTAAATTCTCCAATAAATTGAATGTGTATCAAATCAAGAGCATCAAGCATGCAAAAAAAATGAAAAGTCAATTAACAGCTTTAATATTTTCTCTTTAGGTTCTCTTCTGAACACTGTGAATGAATGTGCTCTTTGTTATTTTTTTTTAGGGGGGGGCGGGTTTTATCTGAAGAGGGAGAGAAGCAGTGTTAAAGTGTGCAAGCCACTTGACCAGCAAAGCTTTAACGAACAAGTAGAGGACAAATAATGATGTCGTTTGCGTCCACACATCCTTTCATCTTGCCCTCCGCTTGACATTCATGAATGAATTAGCACTGCGGGACGCTCTCATTTGCCATAAATGTCGCGTATAATCCAGTTTGCTAATGGTCTATCTTGGTTCATCGTTTACACCCCGGAATTTTTTGCGAAATGCGTTGCTTGGAAATAGCCGCCCTTCGATGCCACAAAAGAAAATGCGTTTGGAAAAGTTTAAATGTTTGTGCAGGCTAAAATGGAAAATTCAAACGGATTCATATCGGGCATTGACCCCTCCCGTATAGCAGCCGGGTTTGGAATGTAATTTGTGATGATGAAAGTGGGGGTTTATTTTGCCGTACATCCCCTGAGCGCCCTGTCTTGTCAATCATGCCTCACTCGCGCGCATTTTTGTCGGCGGACAGCTGGAGCGGATTACGTAGGGATCAGCCGGAATCTGGACTTTGCGCCGGGCGTCGCCATGCAGACGTTGCGCGTGACCATCCTGGACGACCTGGGCCAGCCGTCGCTGGAGGGCCCCGAGCGGTTTGAGCTGGTGCTGCAGATGCCCGTGAACGGCCTACTCGGGGAGCCCGCCAAGGCCGCCGTCCTCATCAACGACTCCGTGTCAGACCGTGAGAGAGGATCGTTAAATACGGATCAATTGTTGATTGTGATTTATTCATGCGCTTTTGATTTGTTTTTGTTTTGTTTTGGTCGCAGTGCCGAAGGTGCAGTTCCGCGACGCCGTCTACGCGGGCGACGAGAAGTCGGGGCGGATTTCGGCAACGGTGTACCGGAGCGGCGACATCGGCCACAAGTCCACCGTGCGATGCTACAGCAGGCAAGGGACGGCCCAGGTCATGATGGACTTCGTCGAGAGGCCCAACACAGACGCTTCCGTCGTCACCTTCCTACCAGGTGGCCTACGACAAAATGCCACATGCACTCCTAACATTAGGAACAGCTACGAAAATGAAGCTACTTATGCTCAGGTTTAATTGGCGCTGTCAGCGATGTATTCATTTGTGGAACAATATGTTCGTGAGTGCAGTGACAAAACTATTAGGATTATTGTTATTATGAGTCTATTCTGTCCTATCGTCATTTTGGTTGCAACATTTTCGTCATGGGCAAAGTTAATTTCGAGAAATGTGAAATCCTACTTTTTAAAAATTCAGTATTTAAACTCAGATGAATGCACTGCCTCGTATATTCCAATCCTCCTTGAACTTTTTTCCCCCAAATTTCTAATTATTGTTCCAATGATATTTTCAATGGCCGTTTGTGACTACATTTCATAACTTATTATCTTGAACCTTTATTTATTTACCGTCTGGAATAATGACGTGATTCTGCTGCCTCCTTTCGTGTCGCGTGGCCTTTCCTTTAATTGGGTGAAGCCAATTGGAGTCCTTTTCATGACAGCATGTGGCTTTGCCCATGTTTTTCTGTTTTGTTTCCAAATTACTTTGTACCTTATATTCTTTTGTTCGATTTTAATTTATGTGCAGCGCTTTGTTTCAGCTGCCATTGTTTGGAAAAATAAGAAGCTCATGTTACCAGTTTCCTGCCCTATACAGTAAATGACCGCATGTTCAATCTCAGATCCTACATTGGATCTTGTCAGACGATGCGGTTACTCTTTAAAAAAAAAAAAAAAAAAAAAAGCTTTCCAAGAATGTACAAATAATCTGTGGATTTCCTCAGGGGAGGTGGAGCAGCCTTGCGTCCTGGAGTTGGTTGACGACACGGAGCACGAAGACGAGGAGGAGCTGCGCCTCGTGCTCGGAAGCCCAAAAAGCGATTCTCCCTTCGGCGCGTCCATCGGACGGCGCAACGAAACACTCATCAGAATCAAAGACGATGCCGACAGTAAGTATGACCGTCTTCTTTCTTCAACCAACGTGAAAATGCATCGCCCGCCCGGCCGATTTGTACTCCGACGTCGGGCTTATTTCCTTCCTCAGAGCCCGTCATCAAATTTGGCGAGACCAAGTTCAGTGTGAACGAACCCAAGGAACGAGGCCAAGTGTCGGCGGTGAGAATTCCCGTGCTGCGCGTGGGCGACTCCTCCAAGGCGTCCGTCGTCCGAGTCCACACCAAAGACGGATCCGCCACCTCGGGGGAGGACTACCATCCCGTTTCAGAGGGTGAGCGAGGGCGGGACTGAGCCGAACCGACGGCGAGATCCTTGACGGAGGCGCTTTCTTCTCTCCACAGAGCTCGCGTTCCGAGAAGGGGACACGCTGCGCTACGTGGAGGTGGAGGTTTTATACGACGGCGTCAGAGAGATGAGGGAGGCCTTCACCGTGCACCTGAAACCAGATGAGAACATGGTGGCGGAGACGCAGGTACGCAAGATTTTTTTGCCTTGATCAAATTACTCACCGATGCCGTCTGTGCTTTCATTCGCGTACGTCGTGGAATGAATGGGAGTCTCCCGAAAATGTTTGTTGGCGTATCTTGTCATTCGCCATGCCGACTTTTGAGCCGTTTGTCACATTGAATAGAAAACCATATGAGTAATGGGAAATACATTTATGATTCCACCTGTTCTGTCACCAGCAACGTTGAATCTGTTTGATGATCGAATTTTTACTTGACCAGCAACAAAACAAAAGAAGGTTCAGGATGTTGAATAGAATTCAATTCGCTTCGTCATTTAAAAAGAAATAAATAAATAACGGAGGTTGTCTTGACTAAAATAAAACAGCCGAATGTATTTCAGCCTAATGCTATATTAAGATGTTTTTTTTTTTTCCTCAATGTTCAATATTGACGGGTCAGTGACGCGCGCTTTGAGTTGAATAAGGAATTAACGAGGTAATCGAAAACAATAACTGCATTTCCCAGATCATTGTTTTCAAAAAAAGAAAGAAACAAAAGGCGCAATTAATTTCAAGGAGTCAAGTTTATGAATCCACAACGTAATTTGCAATTTAAGAAGACAGAACTTTCAAAGTCATATTTTTGCAGGAAAAAAAAAAAAACAATCTAAGAAAATGTCTCGCCAACTCTTCGCCGTAACTGGAGATTTGATTAAACAGCGCAAGGATCGGGGTGAGCCCCAATTCCGAGACATCGTAGTGAGAGTGAGCTGAATGAGAGCAGCGGCGTGTTTGGTTGGTGCACATGAATAATACATCCAGTACATGTGCACGAATGAGAGCCAAACTATACATGAACAGATACTTTGTATGCAGAAGTGAATGCGAACAGCTGGAAAGATTCGAGTCAGCGGCACGGCGTTTAGCAATTAACTTTTCGCTTAGCCTTTGCTTTTCCCTCCCCAGCTGACCAAAGCCATCATCTACATCGAGGAGAGCAACAGCATGGCAGATGTTACCTTCCCCTCGGTGCCCAGGGTGCTCTCTTTGCTTCACTACGACGACTTCGACAAGCACGGAGATTTTCTCCCTGCGGCCGGCTACCCCGTCGTTTGCGTCACCGTACGTCTCCCATCCGTTCTCATCCAAGCGATTCCCTTTCATCGTTCGTTGCGAAATCATCGGCGCCAGGTTACTTCTGGCTGGCAGGAAAGCGATCCAACTGAAACCGTGACGAAAATTTTATCCTGTTTGCGGTTGCGCGGACAAATCAACGTTTTTTTACTCCCTCTTTACGAGTACCGGTCAAGAGGCGAGCAGCGGCATTCTGGACCAACTGGAGACGCTTCATGGAGGATTGGCTGGCAGTAAAGTGCATTGCAGTAATCCAGCCGAGATGTGATGAAGGCATGAATGACTTGTTTCAAAGTGCTCTGAAGAAAGGAGAGGCTTTAACAGCTGCCGCATTTTTCACACGTATCAAAAAAAAAAAAAAAAGAGTAAAATATTGCGGCTAACCTGTTAGCTAACATTAGCATCATAGCACGCAATGGTGGAGTTAGCTCTTTGGGGCTACTCATGGGGTGGTCAAGGCTATCTCAGGGGGTCCGCAAAACAAGAACTTGGAAACAACTTATCAGCAATCAACGTTCATTTTCATATTAAATAAAATTCCCGCACACACACACGCAATGAGAATGAGAGCAGCGGGCAGGCTCGCAACAGAAATGCAGGCAGAATTGAGACTCGAATTTCCAAGTGGCTGGATGCACCAAACTCCATGACGAGTTGATGAGCCGGCGGCATGGTGGAGTCTGAACCCGCTTTCAGAACTGAAAGCGGCTGCGAACTGGGCGGATGATATGCAACTGCTGGCTGACTCCAACGCGACTGCGTCCAAATCTACAATGAAATGCAAACACACACAGGAGAAGGGCTGGAAATTGTGGCTGGCATTCAGGATGCCACCGCTCAGAATTGTGTCCATAAAACGTTGTTTGTTCAAATCATATTGGGGATTGCGCAGTCTCTACGTGCCGGAGACTTCATCGTGAAAAAGTCTCGACGAGCCCGCGAGCGACGCGAGTTTGAAATTTTATTTCCCCTCCTTGCCGCAGGCGTGTAACCTCAAATACCCGGACTACGACAAAACGGGCTCCATCTGCGCGAGCGAGAACATCAACAACACTCTGACGCGCTACCGCTGGCTCGTCAGCGCCCCCAAGGGCCCGGACGGCGTCACCGGCCCGATGCGCGAGGTGGACTTCGACACCTTCTTCACCTCGTCCAAGCTCATCACGCTGGACGCCATCTACTTCCAAGCGGGCTCCAGGGTGCAATGCGCCGCCAGGGCCGTCAACTCGGACGGCGACGAGGGGCTGGAGCTCAGCAGCCCCGTGGTGACCATCAGCACGGACGAGGGTGAGTGTGTGATATCGGCCGTTTTGGTTAGCGTCCGTGCATTATTGATGTCGTAAAAACATAAAAACGGTGCGTTGGATGAACCCGGTTTTGTTTCGGCACGCGGTTGCACAGATCGAAGCCATTTGGATGCGGATATAAAATGGATCCGGATCCAGATGATTTTATTTCCATCAACCACTTGACAAAATAAAATCGGTGTTGCTTTGTTCTTGAGAATAATGAATGTGACATGTTCAGTAGCATAAAGTGGAAGAAACAATTTTCGCTTCTAAAATGTAATTGTCTTTATTCGTCAGTATTTTGAAGGGAAATTAATTTAGTTGTAAATACAGTAGTTCATTCGTATCTTTGTAGACCCAGAAAAACAGAATGTGAATCAATTATGAGTAGTGGCACCAATTTTTTTTTTACCTCCTCCTTTGTCACTCTGCCAACCACCAACCTCTCTTTTTTTTTTTTTTTTTTCTTCTACTGGTCTTGTGGGCTGTGTCCAGCGGGTGGCGCCAATTTTTTTTTTTTATACCTCCTCCTTTGTCACTCTGCCAACCACCGACCTGTCTTTTCTTTTTTTTCTTCTTCTTTTTCTTCTACTGGTCTTGTGGGCTGTGTCCAGCATCATTTTTAGTAGAGGCCACGGGCCACTGAAAAATTGATGGCGGGCCGCAAATGGCCCCCTGGGCCATAGTTTAAGTCTTTGGTGATATTACAGTGTAATAATAAATTGTTCATGGCTTCATGAACAAATACCCCCCCCCCCCAAATATTGGTCTTGCCTATCGTAGACAAAACCCATTTTTCTCCCTTCTTACCAACCGATTCTGGATGGTTTGGTTGGTCCGTTCATGAATGAAAAAAACATAAATAATTTGAAGAATTCAAAAAGCAAAATGAGTCCGCGCTGCTCTGGTGTTCTGGCGGCCAACACCATATTTACGACAGCAACATTTACCAGTTCATATTTTGCGGCGGATACATCAGATCGTATTCCTTTTGTTTCTTATGTGTGTTAAAGCACATATCGTATCGATCCCTATCTGAATTTCAAAGTCTACCCTGCATCTCCTCCCCAGCCTGAGGCAGCAGTTTGAAATTAAAATCCCACTGAACATGTTCAACACGCCAAAACTCTTCTTTTAATCTTTTGTGCTTATGAAGGATTTAATCACATTTGATATCAACCCCAAAAAAACCCTCAAAAACGTGGCTCTGGGCGGTCTCGGTTTACCTTCTTTTCGGTATTTCATTGCTGTTTACTTTCCGCCGGTCACGGGTGATTCAGCGCTTGCTCTTGTTTGTTATGCTAATGCCACCATGCCGTGAGCAGCTGCCGTCGCAGCTCTGGCAGCTGAAAATCATTTCCGCGCAGTGGTATCATTTTTTTTATTTTTTTTTTGTGAGCTAACTAAACGTTTGATGTTTGTTTACGGCCGGGCGGCAGGCATGTGCCAGCCTCGCGTAGTGGGCACGGTGGGAGCCGAGCCCTTCTCTGCCAAGCTGCGCTACACTGGAGCCGAGGACCCCGACCATCCCAACCTCATCAAATTGACTGTCAACATGCCTCACATTGATGGTAAGGCCACAAAAGTGACACTATTATGTTTTTTTTTTCCCGTTGTCTAATGGCTTTGGTTCCGTCTACAAGTGATTTCAAAAGTCCATTTTACAGGTATGCTACCCGTGGTGTCCACCCGCGCCTTGTCCAACTTCGAGCTCACCCTCAGCCCGGACGGCACCCGCGTGGGCAACCACCGCTGCTCCAACCTGCTGGACTACTCGGAAGTCCAGACGCGCCACGGCTTCCTCAGCAACGCCACCAAGAACCCGCAGGTGATCGGCGAGACGGCGCCCTACCAGTACAGCGCCGCCCTGAGGGGCGCCAGCACGCTGCGCTTCTACCGCAACCTCAACCTGGAAGCGTGCTTATGGGAGTTCACCACCTACTACGACATGTCCGAGCTGCTCAGCGACTGCGGCGGAACCATCGGCACTGATGGGCAGGTAAACAGTCGCTTCAATATTCAATACCATCAAAGTGGAGTTCCTTCCGCTCCCACTAGAGGGAGCTGCATTGACAACTCAAGTTTGATACATGTGGCTTATGAGTGCTTTGATAGTTACCCAGGATCGGTCGAGACATTTTTTTTTCCTTTTTTTTTTTAAAAATGATAACGCCGCCTTGCACAATTTGGAATATCTCGTAGAACTGCAATAAATCCTGAGCATGCTCGCTCACGTCTTATGCCCCTCGCCATTTGTTCATGATAACATTATCTTTGAATAGAAATAGAAATAAAGATATCGGCAAAAAAAAACTGTCGACAAAGTCCAAGGCGTGCGTGGTCCCGTTCAGGCGCATGAGCTCCGTCATATGTCGAATGCAACCCGCTCTTCTCGCCACCTTGCGCAATAGAAATAAACACAAGTAGAAATAAAGCAAAGTCAAATGGCCTCGTGCGAGTACACCCGAGATCATTTGCACGTCTATCAAAAAGGGCTTGCTGGCGTGAGTCTTCATTTTAAGACTTGAAAGTAAACAGCCTGCGCAGGACAATATCTCGTTTCTCTTCTGCAGCGATGACAAAACCCAAAGCCCACACGGGGCGTCCATCATCCACCGCCAGGAGCACTCTTTTGTCTTGTCCATATTAGCAAGTTTGTGAGCTCTCATAATGTATAAATTTGTATTTTGTATTTAAAAAAACAAAACAAAAAAAAAAAAAACACCTCCTTTTTCATGAGCCTGATGCGCGCAGTCTGCGGCAGCTGTGACGTGCTGTAGCGCACCTCCCCCGCCACCTGGACGCCTCGCCGCCTAGCCGCCTCGCTCCCGACAAAGATGAGAAGATTTAAAGAGGGATTTCAAGTTCCGCAGTTAATTTCAGTGCGCCTTTAATGGCAAGTGATCTGCTTCCAGCCACGTCCGGTCCAGCTGATCTCCGCGCGCAGCGCCAACGGCCCGTATCGACGTAGCGCTTATGACTCATTACACAATTGATGCTGATAATATTCGAGGATTATCTGTCCAGTCGCGACCTCTGAGATCTTGATGGCGATGTGTGTGATCAGCTCAAAGTGAAAATCATGCATGCCTCACAAATGACTTGCCGGTGATCAACATTAGGTGCAGGTGTGTAGTTTTGGGTGGGTCGAAGTTAGGGTTGGTTTCACACGCCGGTGTCAAACTGAAGGCCCGGGGGCCAGATATGGCCTCCCACGTCATTTTATGTGGCCCGTAAAAGTCAATCATGTGCAGTGACTTCATGTTTCTTGCTCATTAAAAAAAACAAAAAGAACAATCGTTCATTTAAAATAAATAGAATCATATTTCAACAGACAGTTTTTACGGGCCTCTGTTTACAAAATGAGTCATTCATCAATTTGTTGTACTTTATATGTAATATGAGGCGATCATACATTTTTCCGATTTCACCGTCATGACGACCAACCAAAGAAAACCGTAATTATGATGAGGCCAATGACAAAATTGAGTTTGACATTCCTAATTTAGGGTCGGGCATTAGTGCTAGCCAGGTGTCGGGTAGGGCAGAGTTGGCCTTCCAACCTGGATTCACTTCTAAGATGCACGTTTTCTTTTCCTCCAGGTTCAATGTCATTCAAAAGACGACGTGAATAGTTTTAACTTGCGTGGTAAATATCACACAATGTCACCCGACGGGATTAATGGTTGCTCTCGACCACCGTGCGGTTCCAGTTACCTTTTGTAAATTTCTGAATTTCTGAAACTGCTCTTGTACTTAATCGCGTTATAGGAGCATATAATCTCGTAATGGAACCCCGCGACCGCTGATATTGCCTTTGATCAATACCGCCTATACAGGACACGACCGCATCCAATGTTCATAATCCATTTTCTGCTGAGATAACAAGCGCACGACGACTTTACGTTTGCCGGCAGGCGGTCGCGTGCTTGTTTAGAAGCCTTTATCAGTGTCATAAATAAGACGTGCCACCGCGCTGCTTTAATTATTCATCCTGTGAGTAGAGCAGCTGAGGTTGCCCTTGGTCTTTGTCCACCTTCATTAAAGAAATCTCTCTGGTGGACTACGATGTGCCGGAGTGCAGAGGTGGGAGTAAGACTGAAAAAAAAAAAAGATGGGTGGCAGAAGACCAGCAAACAAAACCCTTCGGTGTTCCTTGACCAAGGCAGAGCGGTTGAGAAGACGCCACAAACGTCTTCAACCGTGATCTTAGCCTTCTTTCCTCCCACCGTCATTTCAATATGTAAAGCGTCAGTGGAAAACAAGATGTTACATTCAGCAAATTGCTCGGAAGGGAGCCTGAGGGCCGGCCTCGATTTATATTTGAACAGGTGAGTCGATTCCAAAATTAGACGTGGCGGAAATTCAGACTTAATTAACGTGATCGTTGAGGGACTGACTAATGAATTGACTTTTCTGTTGCTGAACGGATGGCACAGGCGTGCGCTTTTCACGCCGAAATAGAAGGTGTACCGTCGCGCCCACGTTAGCGAGCAAGCTCATGTCTTTCACAAACCTATGATGCCGGGTTTGATTCCCACCCTGTCCCTTTAACGGGGGAAGTGTTGCGATCCACTTGATTGACTCCGTCCTCCTGACCATGAACTTAATTTGGTTTTCTTTTTTAGGAAGTACAAAAAGAATGGGGGGTATATTTGGTGGCACAAACGCTAACGCAACATTTTTTTTCCACGTCATTTTCAGTACAGGTTGCTCATAGCCACATGTGTTCTGCCATTTGGATGCTCTTTCAGCTACATAGAGCAAGTCCAACTCATGGCACGTCTTGTTGTTTTGACAAGGCAGAATGAAGTGGAAAAAGAAGCACCGGCCGGACTTTGAATTTGCAAGTGCTTCCCTGAGAAGCCGCACGAGCTAATGGAGGGACGACCCGCCCCGAGTGTCATGTCACTGCTTAGCGGGGCCGCTGGAATCCATTAAGGCCCAGCAGGTCGTGTCAGGGGGGGATGAATATGAACACACGATGCTCGCCCGGAGGCTCGCCTGAGCACGTTCACCCGAGCGGCGCAAGCAGGCAGGCAGGCAGGCACACGCGCGGCAGGTCAGAGAGGCGCGGATAGCTCGTTTTTCGAGCCTCGCGTGTCGGAGCAAGTCGGGCGAAATTTGTGCGTTTTGAACTTTTAACACCCGTCTGTCCGTTTCCCAACGTAAAACTCAATCGCGTCGCAGTTGCGGAGAACGTTTGCACTCACGCGCAAAAAACATATTTTGAACGCACTTTGAAGGCAGCATGCATTGGAAAAAAGATCCAAGGTCCACCGGAAAAAAAACGCAATTACCGTATCAAATACAGCACACAACACAATATATTGCCAGAATAAGATGAGAAATACCAGCCGGCTGTTGTCATGCCTTTGCATAATGACGCCAAGGTCTGAAAACCAAAACTCAAACAATGGAATGCAATCATACAAAAGCAACGTGAAGAATAGAGAAATGGTGCAAATAAAAATGAGAGACAAAAAAAGGAATTGAGCCCTCTGATGTTGAAACCTTTCTCGACCCCGTGGGGGCCTTGGGAATGAAGCCCCCCCCCCAAAAAAAAAAAAAACAAAAACAAAACGATAGCCAGTTGTGTTTTTTTGATATGGACCATTCTGAGATGAATACGAGTACTCCCCCTAGTGGCTGTGAGCAGCATAGTAGCCATGACAACAAAGCGGGTGGGAAAAACACCACTGAATGCTTCAGGCCGGGGGGGTCACCGCCCTTTTAGAAACTGAGAGCTACCTTTTGGCTACTGATTGAAGTGAAGGCCGACAAGTTTGCTGCACTGCTGTAATTTCCTTGAATTAAATGCCAATATAAATCATGATATTCATCTAAAGTGAACAATGGGCACAACAGCAGCCCTATCAAGGACAGCAACAGTCCCATTTGTACAAATCTCTGTAAGTGTTTACATTTTCAACACATGACTTGTTCAGTATCACTGTTGAGCCATCTCTTGGACATTTTGTTTTTTTTTTATTTTGTTGTTTTTTTTTTTTTTTTTCTTGGACGAGCAAGCAGAAATGAGCAATTCGGCCGGAGGCGGCGGTTTGGCAAATAGCGAACACTTCTTCTGAAAACAGGCTTCAAGCTGTTGATCGTCAAACTAAACATCAAACGAAAGCAATTCCATGTGGTGTATTTCTAATTTCTATTGATTTCTGTTTTTACCTTGAAGTAAAGACCTCTTTTTCACGGCAGGTATTGAACCTGGTCCAGTCCTACGTGACGCTGCGGGTGCCGCTCCACGTGTCCTACGTGTTCCACTCGCCCGTGGGGTCCGGCGGCTGGCAGCATTTTGACCTCCAGTCCGAGCTGAGGCTGACTTTTGTGTACGACACCGCCATCTTGTGGAGGGACGGCATCGGCAGTCCGCCGGAGGCCGAGCTCCAAGGTAAAGCGGCTGAAAACAAATGCTCCCCCTTTCCGTCGAGAGAAAGGACAGTTCCTCGTCTGACGGTTCCCGTCTTTTGCAGGCTCGCTCTACCCGACCAGCATGCGTATTAACGAGCAGGGACGCCTGGTGGTCAACTTCCGCACCGAAGCTCGCTTCCGAGGCCTGTTTGTCTCTCGGCATCCTGGTATGTTGAATTCGGTTCTTTCTCAACTGCAGCCTGCCCTGCAGGCAGCTTTTTAGTTGTTTTAGCTTCTTTTTCAACTCCATGTGAAGGTCGGTTTAGGATAAAATGCTCTTGCTTTGGTTCCTACTTTAGAGATGCGATTGGAATGCCGCTTAGTGTAGGGTAGAATCTATTCTATGGAATCCTGAAAAAAAAAATACTGTATATAATTTTTTAAAATATCAATCTACAAAATACAGTCAGTTGTCTCTTGCCATCGTGCCTTTACTTTTTACAGTATCACGGCATTGCAGATCTTTTATGGTACTTAATATTATTTTTATTATTATTATTATTTTAGAATCATTACACATAAACTTTGTGTGCAGCGATGGCTGTTTGAAAGTGCTCTATAAATGCAGTTGAGTTGAGTTGAGAATTTACACGTGGCCCTTTTTGCTTGTAAGTGTGCTGATTATTGCTGAAAGAAAAGCAACCATAACCCAGTGTCTCAGAAATGTGAATATAGAGAAAAAGTTCCATATTGGAAAAAGGACTGGGTTAAAAGGTCTACTAAGTCGGATAAATAACCCCAAAATCCCACCAAAGTCCACACAAAATGTTTGCAGCATGGAAATATTTTCAGCGTCAGACGTCGTCAAAATACTCGTGCCCGTTCACAGGGCATCAGCACCCTCTAGTGGTATTTGATTGCTACTGCAATTGTATAAACACCTCGTCGAACATTTTCTGCCAACGTTTTGGAAAATAATTCAAGAATTTTGCCCTCACTTTTTAATCTCACCAACATTGAGTTGTTTACGTGACAATTCTGGGTCCTGACACAACTCCGCGTTGAGCGGATCCGGCCCATTTCTGGCACCTTCTGAGAAAAGCTCGCCAAATGAGCATTGTGCCTTTTGGTTAGCCTCCGCCCTCACCTCCGTGGTCATGTGCGCCGACCACCCCGGCCTGACCTTCAACCTCAGCCTGGTGCGTAGCGAGCCCACCTACAACCAGCCCATCCAGCAGTGGACCTTCGTCTCCGACTTTGCCGTGAGCAAACATCGACGCTTTTCCGTTTGTTTGGGCCTCATTGCCGGCATCTCAAGGTGTGCCCGCGTCACGTTCAGGTACGTGATTACTCGGGCACGTACACGGTGAAGCTGCTGCCGTGCACGTCGCCACCAGGCCTGGAGTTCGCCTTCCCGCCCTCGTGCAACCCCAGAGAGCCCGTCAGCTTTGACCTGGACATCCGATTTCAGCAGGTATGATGCAAGGGAAATGTTGTGAATCTCACCAGTGGGATACACTGGCGACATTTTCACCGTGACCTCAAACCGACTTCCGGTGAAAAACAAACATTTGCAAACGTGAAGCAAAGTCTATTCGATGCTTCATAACACAACAAATATGAGGATATAGCTGCAGCAAACCCACAAAAAAAATTTAAATGATAAGGAATAATTTTCAGGTGTTATGGTTCATTTCAATAAAAACTAAAACGTTTTTTGAAGCATGAATGGTTTTCATAAAAAGCATTTAACAGCCCCTCCAAATTAAACGGTATCATGGAACCTTAGATTTGCTCATATGCAAGATGAGAACAGCCAAGTTCTAGTAACGATCAATTTAGGACTATTTGTGAAGCAGTCGTGCTTCAGTGTTTTTCGCACAAATTGCGTTTTCACATTTGTTTATTTACCCTTGAAAGGAATGCAACTGGTTATTGTCAGACATTTCCTCGCTGGAATCGGCGTACCCTTCAAAATGCGATGGCACAGATTAATGGCATTTCCATTCATTTCAGTGGGGAAAGACGATTTGAGAAGTATTTTGAGTGGTTTTGCTATGGTGTCAATTTTTTTCTCGAGTCGAATACCTCTTTTTTCCTTGGGCGTTTTTTCTTCATTTTTACATAAATAAAGTGTATTTGCGCAAGGTATGAAAAAGAATATGAACCGTGACACTTGTTTATCTTGGGTGCGGTCGTAGGTGAGCGATCCCGTGGCTGCGGAGTTCAGTCTGAACACAGAAATGATGCTGCTCTCCAAAAAGACCCTGTGGCTCTCGGACGGCTCCATGGGCTTTGGCCAGACCAGCGACACGGCTTTCGCGCAAGGTGCCGCCCTGCGGAGTAACTCATGGCGCTCGGGGCTTCGTGCTGATAATTGTCTGTGCAGGCGACACCATCTACGGACGCGTCATGGTGGACCCCGTGCAGAATCTGGGCGACTCCTTCATCTGCAACATTGAGAAAGTGTTCCTGTGCACGGGCGCGGACGGCTACGTGCCGAAGTACAACCCAAATGGCTTTGAGTTTGGCTGCCTGGCTGACGCGCCGTCGCTACTCTACAGATTCAAAATTATTGTAAGTCCACTTCGAAGGTGTCGGTGCGGCATTGTGGCCTCAAAACTAAAAGACAGTATTGCCCCAAGATTAGAGTGACTCCCCTTTGAATTGTTTCATGATATGAGACCAAATGAAAACAGGGAGCTATCATTGGAGTTATGTGGTCCCTCCTACGAGCTCCGGTTAGTGGGCTAGCAGCATTATTTTGGATCAACTGGAAACACGTGATGGAGGACTGGTTGGCTCCCACATAAACGTAATTACAGTCATCTTGTCTTGTCGCAAGGACAAAGCCCAGCCCGAGACCCAGGCCGGCTCTTTTGGAAACGTGGCCTTCAGCGCCCGCCTGGCCGTGGACGACCCGGCCGCGCTACCTCTGGTCAGGCAGCCTGGATCAGATGGATTCAGCATGGATTCCGCTGCCCTCTTCCAGGTCACCTAAAACACGCACGCTGGATTTCAAGTTGGAATATGAGCAGAAAAAAATTGGAACAATTTTGAGACTGAAGTTGGAGGATTACACAAAAAATTGTGGACACAAAATCAATCGTTAAACTAGGGTTCAAAGTAGGGTTTCAGACTAGGGTTAGCGTTTCCAATTAGGGTTTCTAACTACAGTTAGGATGCCAAAGTAGGGCTTCGAACTTGGGTTAGGTTTTCAAAGTAGGGGTTCTAGCTATGGTTAGGATTTTAAAGTAAGGTTTCTAACTAGGGTTAGGGTTTTGAAGTAGGGTTTTAAACTAGGGTTAGGGTTTCCAATTAGGGTTTCTAACTGGGGTTAGTGTTTCAAAGTAGGGTTTCAAACTACTGTTAGGGTTTAATTAGGGTTTCTAACTGGGGTTAGGATTTCAAAGTAAGGTTTCAAACTTGGGTTAGGGTTTCATAGTAGGGTTTCAAACTAGGATTAGGGTTTCCAATTAGGGTTTCCAACTTGGCTTAGGGTTTTAAAGTAGCGTTTGCAACTACAGTTAGGGTTTCAAACTAGGGTTAGGGTTTCCAATTAGGGCTTCTAACTGCAGTTAGGGTTTCTAACTAGAGTTTGGGTTTCCAATTAAGGTTTCTAACTAGGGTTGGGGTTTCAAAGTCAGGTTTTAAACTACGGATGCCCATGTGCACTTTGCGGTGGCAGGTGTCCGCCGGTCGAGAGTGGTTCATCCACACCATCTACACAGTGCGCTCCCGGGACAACGCCAACCGTGGCATCGGCAAGCGGAGCCTGGAGTACCACGCGCTCAGCCGGCACCGCCGGGCCGCCGACGTCGAGGAGATCGGCGCCGACAACAACCGCGGCACCAACATCCTCCACATCGCGCTGAACCGCAGAGCGCGCGACGCCGGCGCCGCCGACCTCGCCAGAGAGGTCCTCGTCCCCGACGGGGTGGTCCCGCGCGAGCTGGGCGACGCCGAGGACGGCGCCGACGAAGACGGGCCAGTGCTGATGGTGGGCGTGGCGGTCGGGATGCTGCTGGCCGTCCTGGTGGTGGTGCTGCTGGTGGCGCTGGTGCGGCACAAGCGTGATGCCAAGGATGCGCCCGCCCCGTTGGCAAGCGGCCAGCCAATGGTGACGCAAGCACTCGGTGACAGCTCTGAAGTCTGAATGAGCGCCTCGTGGTAGAAGATCCGGTTCCAACAAGGACTAGTAAGCGCATATTGTAAAGGAAACAAAACAATGGAGTGTGTGTGCGCGTGCGTGTGTGTGTGTGTGTGTGTGTGTGTGTGTGTGTGTGTGTGTGTGTGTGTGTGTGCGCGTCTGTGTGAGAAGCGCAAAACTTTACATGACAAAAAAAGGATAGAGTTGTCATTTAATGGGGAATTTTTTTTTATATATAAAATTTTCGTATTTTATTTTTAATTTTACAGAAATTAATAAATCCTGATTTTACAAGAATAAAATTGGAATTTTTAAAAGGAAAAAGGACAAGAATATAGTCTGATTATAATATGACCTTATTCCTTTTTTTTTGTCATATTCTGACTGCGTTATTTCAACTTTTTTTTTTTTTTTTGGAGAAAATGACACAATTCTACAAGAAAAATTAAATTGTCACTTGATGTACTGAATAAACTGGTGATTTAGTGAAATTAAAAAAAGAAAAAATACTGATAGTTTTGCAAGAACAAATTTTATGAGAAAGAAAAAGAACTTCAAAAATTGGCTTTTCGCTCTTTGCCGCCCTGTCCAATAAACCCCCCGCCCCATTGTGAAAATTACAACTTTATCTTTTTTTTCTTTTTTTTTTTTCTTATCAGTGTGTCTTTCACACTCCTGCATTATTTTGCAAGTGCCTCACATTTGAAGAACTAAAAACAAAACAACAAAAAAGAAAACTGCGCCTCAAGAGCTTTTTGCTTGTGTTCCGCAATCTACTTGAAGCGCGCTCACTGTCGGTCCCGTGGCGAGACGTCCCGTCCGATGTCTTTCAACGCTCTTTCGTCCTTTGCTGTTTTCTTCTGATACCACCCCATCTATGCCCCCCCCCCACCCAAAAAAAAAGACAACAAAAAAGTGTCAGTGGTTAGTGTCAGAGGTGCTTGCGGACGCCTCTCTTCCTTCCACTTGCGGCAACTGTTGCGTTCTTCTTGTTTGACCTGCTGCGTTTTCCGTCTGTTTTCCATCACACTTTGTGCACCTGTGCATGTCTTGCTGTGTGTGCTTCTTATTACACTTAAATGTCAAACTTCTGATTTACTGAAGGCAAAAGTGCATCGACTGTCTTTTACGTTATTTCGTTCAATCAAGACAATAGTCCATTAAAAATGTCTCGAATCGACCGTTGGCATCGAGGAGGTTAAGGTTAGATTTAAGGTAAGTTTTAGCGGTAAATGACAAAACAAGATTTATTTTCTTTTTTCTTTTTTTTTAAGTCAGAGCATGACCATCTATTCAGACCTTGTCCAAAAATGTTACTCAAACGAAACCAATAATAAATAAAATCTTGATGGCCTTAAATTAACTTTGCTTTTCCAGATCAGTCGGCGCATTGGGGCGGAGATTATTCCAGAAAAGCGGCCCTCTTTCTCAAGTGCAAAGGAATTCTTGTAGGCTAAAATGGGGACATTTTTAGGCAGATGCAAATGACCTGCTGTGTTTGTTTTTTTTTTTTTTTTTTTTTTTTTGGTAAAGTGTGTCAACGGGTTTGGGGTTTTCGTGTTTCAGATCAGGTGAGAGTTGATGCTAGTTGACGTTTTTGGGTTAGCGTAAGGTTAGGTTAAGGTCGGCTTTGGGATTTTTGCTGGATCAAGGCTCGGGTTCAAGGTCGGGTTTCAGTTCAGGTACGGTTGGGGTCCGGCAATTCTCAATTGGGCTGAATGAAGTTCGACACAATGGCAAATTTTTAGTAGCACGTTTGCCATCTTTTGTGTCCGTTGCTTCGCGTATTTCTTGCTTCACGCTACGAATCGTCCGAATTGCCTTCAAACTTGATTGAATCGTTCCCATAAATCATCTCTGGTAAGGGATGACCTCGTCTTGCCGTGTGCATGTCACTTTTCGTATGAAATGCTTTGGGGATTTTATGTTGAGGGAAAAGGACATCTATGCAATTTGTCATATTTTACATTTTGATGTGGGTTTTTTTTTTTTTTCCACTGCACAACCTGCTCGTTAATCCTCACCATCCACGCGTTGTATCGTGCTTGGTTTTTGTCCTCTAATGCTTTGGAGTGAACTCTCTTATGCACATGTATGTACAGTACGTATGTATATACATCGATATAGTACTTAGGAATATACCATTTGGATGTTTTGGGGAATGGTTGTTAAAAAAAACAAATGGGGGGGAAAAAAACGCATACAGTATGTGCTTGTAAGTATTTGTAACATAGACCACAAGCACAGCGCTGGTCTGCAAATAAATAATTTTTCAAGATTTTTTTGGGGGTGGGCGGTGTCTTTTCATTCTAGTATTTATATGTGATCATCTATCAATCAGACAGATCCGATTCCTGACGGGGCAATAGCGCCCTCTCGCCCCTGATGTAGCGCCGTCCCTGTCGCATGATATTTTCATTGATTTGCGATATCATTTAACAGCTGTCAGATGTCCAATTTGAAAAAGCCTCTTGCAAAAATGGGAAAATCTTAAACTTAAAAAAAGCTAACCGTGACAATAAGCACACAAAAAAAAAACGTGTTCATGTAACCATGTGCTTTTATTACCAGTGCATATTTCTAGAAACCAAACCAGGTATTGTCGTAGTGGCGTGTGTGTGAAAGACACAAATATATAAATATATCACAATGATGAAATGCTTCGTATTTAGGTCACAGCTGCAAAGAAGGAGCATTTAAAAAAACAGGATATTCGTTTGAATCAATTCAACGAGTGTTGGCACACAATCACCGGCAGGCGGAGCCAAAGCGAAGAGGAGGAGGAGGCGCAACAAAGATGGCGCGGGCACGAAAAGCAGAAAATCGTCGTTCATCGAATCTGCCGTCGCTAATTTACTTTTTTAAAAGTTCCTTCAGTATAAGAATGATCGTGGGTTGATCATTATTATCAATAAAAACTCCGACCAGCATGTGTCTCCTGAGATGAGCGCCTCAATTTTAAAAAACAAAAAAATATATACATGTGGCGGGTGGCGGGTGTCATTGACATAATTTAAATAAAAATTAACATTTAATTTAAATAATTTATGTATTTATTTGCCATTTCTTTGTTTTGTATGGAATTATCAAATAGATCACTAGATCAGTCTTTTGCCGACCATTTTTCACATGATCACAAATTTCAAATTTTTTCTTTTTAAAGGTGGTATGAACAGAGGAAAAAAAGAGCAATATATCAGAGGAAAAAAAGCACATCCATTTCAAAAAAAAAGTGTCGAAGCACAGCTGGTGTATAGCATCAAATAAATGATCTTTGCTTCCCTGTTGCTCCTCCTCGTTGTTTAAAGTCCCATAAAACCAAAGTGATGAGCAAAAACGATTTTTGTGCTGCTTGAATGGCAATAAATATTCTTTGAGTGTATGTTGGTCAAGCAAGTTTTGAAAAGCGTGCGTGTGAAAACAGCTGCCTTCAGTGTCGTCGTCGCCGCCGTCGCACGCGCGCCCTTGTCGTCGTGGTCGTGGTCGAATATACACAATAATTTACATTTCGTCAGCTATATACACTAAGTACAGACAGCAAATCGATGCACGGGTCGTGTTTTGACACTTGCTTTGTTTTAAGCTAAGCAGTGAAAAAAAAAAAAAAACTACAGGTGAGTAAGAGAGGCACACTGAAAAGGAAAACAAATCAAGTCAAGGAATTTCAATGGGTCTGACAGTTTTGACCTTGAAGTCCAGGAGGACACGTTTGACAATTTACCCGGTTAACGTTGAATCTTGCACGCTTAAGAGAAAAGTCATCATTTTACAATTACAAGGAAAAATGTCACTATTTTACAATAAACATGGGGGGGCATATATATGGATAATTTCACAAAATGTATCTTGACAAGAGAGATTTGTAGTTTGCATTTCTTTTTTCAAGTGACAAGAGAAAATTTGTAATTTTATAAGAATTGTTTTGAAATTTGACACACAAAAAAATCTTTCAAGACAAAACATTAGCATTAGCTTACAATCTAATTTTACAATAAATGATTTGGCAGTTTTCTCAAAGAAAATTCATTATTTTAGAAAATGATTTTCAGATTGATACCAGTATGACTTTTTTTTCTCAAGAGAATGATTTTCAACTAATTTCACACATGTGTATTTTTCACTTAATATTCAGTCAATTGAGTTTTTTCCCCCGAACAAACACGACTTTTACATTTTTATTATCTAGAGTAAAATTACGAGAACAAAACAGAACCAATTATTTTCTAATCACTTTTCCCCCTCATGATCCAAAAAAAAAAAAACAGCACTTCAGAATTACAAATTGATTTTTGTTTGTAATATTGCAACTTAAATCCAATTTCTCAAAAACGTGCGTGTTTTTTTTCTACTCATCATATGCATTCGTTTTCTTGCACTTCGTTTTCTTAGTTTTTGCTTTTTGTTGTTGTTGTTGTTGTTGTTGTTGACTATTTATTTTCTTTTGAGTGTGGCCCCAATACTCGGTGAAAAAAAAATATTTCAAGATAAAACATTCGCATTTGCTTACAATCTAATTTTACAAGAAATGATTTGGCAGCTTTCTCAAAGAAAATTCATTATTTTATAAATTGATTTTCAGATTGATAACAGTATGACTTTTTTTTTCTCATGAGAATGATTTTTAACTAATTTCACACGTGTGTATTTTTCACTTAATATTCAGTCAATTGAATTTTTTTTACCGCAAACAAACATGACCTTTACATTTTTATTTTCGAGAGTAAAATTACGAGAACAAAACAGAAACAATTATTTTCTAATCACTTTTTCCCCCTCATGATCCAAAAAAAAACAACCCAGCACTGCAGAATTACAAATTGATTTTTGTTTGTAATATCGCAACTTAAATCCAATTTCTCAAAAACGTGGGTGTTTTTTTTCTACTCATCATATCCATTCGTTTTCTTGCACTTAGTTTTCTTAGTTTTTGCTTTTTTTGTTGTTGTTGTTGACTATTTATTTTCTTTTGAGTGTGGCCCCAATACTCGGTGGATAACTGAACCACACTGCGACTCATTACGGAGATGAAATCAAATTGCATGCATTTGGACATAATTATGGCTCATTTAATACTTGAATCTATCAAGCTATCTGTGTAGCCGCCACTTGCTCCTTGGCGGAAGCTAAGTCACCAAACTTGGAGATTTATTGATTTATTTATTTTAATTCCTTGCGCACACCGTGAGCCTCATGGCCGACGTGTGAGACCGAAGGTTTTATTGCACCCTGTGGACTTCTCGTGGCGTGGGCGTGTCACTGTAGGTAGCGGTAGACCTTGAAGCAGTGGTTGCCCGAGTCGGCCACAGCCACGTGGCCATCCGAGGTGAGGGCCAGGCCTTGTGGGCCGTACAGGGGGTCCGCCGTCGTGTTGATGTAGGACAAGAAGGAGCCTGAGCTGTCAAACACCTGGTTTGGAACACAGCACGTTGCGTCAGATTTTTTTTTTCTAAAACGAGCAGTAGTTCTATCTACCTATATAAATTAATTGTGAATTCAATCATTATTTCAGTACAGTTTTTCATTTTTCCAGAGTACAATTGAATATACGATGCCAAACATTTTTAAAAACATAGAGCACCAACGTAATTGAATGGAATTTACATTCCATTCAATTTGACCTAAACCGTGTGTCATGATTTCATACTGCAACCCAATTCATTGTGCTGCTTCTTCTGCTGCGCCCGCATTGGCCACTGGGAGGCAGTATAATACAGTCATGAAGACACAAACAAAGTAGAATATTACTTCTCTGACTACTTCAAATATAAGAGACTCAGTAAAATGCTGTAATCTGAGCTAGTTTTCGCTATTGCCCATAGTGTCGTCATATTATGTATCAAAAGTTTTTCAACCTGGATGCGACTGTTGCCCCAGTCGGCCACAATGATGTTCCCATTGGAGTCGACGGCCACGCCCGTGGGTGCGTTGAACTTACCGTTTCCTCAAGGAAACAGACAATGGGTGAGTTGGTCTAGCTGGCAAAAGATGATGATTTTTTTTTTTTTTTAAGTACTTACTGAACATTGGTCCTGATTTACTCAGCTTTTGTTCCAGTGCTACATTTGCGCCGCTTTTGTCTTGCAAGGAGAGAAAACATAACACGCGTTAGCAAAAACTGTTCACAGCTAGCAAGATACTTAGCTGTCTAGCTAGCGAGTTCGATAAACAGGCAACTTTTGTTTGGAAAAATATCCACACGTCATCTGGAATGTATCTCTCGCAACAGGAAGACTTTTGACTCAGAAATAAACACGCTCATGCTCAGACGGCTACGAATACTACCTGCAAAATGTCTGTCGGACGTTCCCTTGGCCCCAAATTTGGTGACCAGCTTTCCGTTGGCCTGGAAGATGAAGACGCAGCAGGCCTTGTTGTCCACGGTAATGATGTGTCCGTTCTTGTCCACGGCCACACCTTTCGGACCCATCAGACGACCGGCTCCAATTTTGTTCTGACATACGGCAACGTGGAAAAACGTTTTGGTCATCAAGTTACAATGAAAAATACATAACATTGAGTGGAAAAAAAGAATTGTCTGGAATTCACTTTGCTTTGCATCGTGGTGCCAAAGCAACTAAGAGGAAGTAAAGGGGAGGGGCTTCATTTGGCCTTGTCTAATTAAAAACAACTGTTTTGCCGCCATCTTGTGGCATCGATGAGTAATGACAAACTTTTCTGAGAGGGCATCAAATTCCTTGTTTTGTTGACTGACCTTGAACTTGCCGTCCGAGGAGAAGATGCTGATCCATCTGTTGTCATAGTCGGCCACGATGATGTCACCATTCATGTCCACCGTCACCCCGGTGGGGCGCTGCAACTGCCCCGGGGAGCGACCTCTGACCCCGAAGCGCATCTTGAACTGGCCGTCGTTGGAGAACACCTGAAGAAGATGCCGCCGTGTCACAACTGGCATAGTTTTGTTGACGTGTGTCTGTATGTTTTAGTGTGTGCGTTTGTGCAAGTGTGCATGTACATTAGTGTTGATTTGTTTGTGTGTGTGTGTGTGGGGGGGGGGGGTTACAACAGTTAGGGATTTTGACTTAGATTTTATTGCATTTTGACTTTTGATTGAGTTTCTGTTAGTCTTTAGAGCAGGTTTATTCATTGTTTTTATTATCTTATTTTGGGGGGAGAAAGTGCTTCATTTTAGTTGAGTTTTGATTGGTTTGAGTATTAGTTTTAGTTTTAGAGTATTGTGTGTAAGATTTTGGAATCCCTCGTCCTAATTTGAAACAAAGCTCATAAGAAACTGTACTTTGACACCCTAATTGGAAACACAAACCCTATTTGATACCCTAACCCGAGTTGGAAACCCAGTTTCAATCCCTACTTTGAAACCTCAACTAAAGCTTGAAACTCGAAGCCAAGTTTGAAACCCTACTTTGAAAACCCTACTTCAGTTGGAAACCCTAATTGGAAACCGGAGACCTAGTTTGGATCCCTGCTTTTGAACCCTAACCATTGTTTGAAACCCAAATAATGTATGCGCATGAATGCTTTTATTTTGTTAAGTTGTTCCCGGCAGCCCGTGGCTAACTTGACTCATTTTCCAGCCTGCGTTTGGGGATTCATTTCTTGCCATCAAAAACGGTTGCTTTCAACGACAACAGCTAAAAAAATGACTTCACTTCACCGACACTGTATTTGTACGTCGCTCGCACAGCACAAGAAGCGCTAGCAGAGCTAGCAGTGCGAGCATCGCTGGAAGCGCTCAAGTTAAAATGGACTCTGAAAGCTCATGTCTCATATTAATTGTCAAATCCGAAAACAAAATCGTATTTCGCTCGAACTCTGGTTAGGTTTAGCGTGTGCGGTGTCTGTGGGTGCGAGCGAGACCTGTATGGACTGGTTGTTGCTGTCGGCCACCACAATGCGACCGTTGCTGGAGGTGGAGATGCCTTGAAGGTTTGTGAATTCTCCTTTGTCGCGTCCTCTCGTTCCTGGTAAGCGGAGAACGAGTTCGGATCGCAGGTTAGCATACATGGTGATTAGTATGAAATTTTCGACACACCCCACAAAAATGATTCATTGCTAGCACATGGACGCACTCAAAGGAAGTAACATTGCGATCGGCACTAAATAGGGTCCAACAGAACATCCAACATAGCTCCACTTTGCGAATTGTTTCCCGATTTCCCCGTGAATCACGATGTCCATAGAGCAGGCTCGCTCCCATCGACGCTCGTCGCCGGCGACTCGGCCTCACCGACTCTGTAGATGAGCTCGTCCTCGATGGGGTTCTCCTTCTTCTTGGTGGCGCTGTACATACTGGAGGGCCTCCTGACGGCCTTCTGGCGCACGTGACCTCCGCCGCCGCTCGGCGACTTGACCCGCCTCTTGACGTCGTCGGGCGACTGCAGCACGTCGGAGGGCTTGACGGCGCGCAGGCGGAAGGGGCTCCCCCGGACGGGCTGCTCGTAGAGCAGCAGCGAGAAGGCGAACTCGCCCTCGGCGCGGGCCGTGTAGCCCACCTCGTAGGTGCCGTTCTTGTTGTCGGTCACCTCGGCCTCGGCCGCGACGCCCTCCGCCGACACGATCCGGGCCCGCAAGGCGGCGTTGCCCGTCTTGACCAGCTCGCCGTCTTTGTCCTTGGTGGTGACGGTGACGGTGGTGTGCTGGCCCACCAGCGCGTGCCGCAGGCCCTCGCCGGTCGCCACGCTGGTGTGGCCCACGGCCCCCGTGGTGATCAGGACGCCCAGGTTCTGGATGGAGCGCCGCAGGCCGTCCGTCTCCACCTGGCACTCCAGGTGGCCGTTTTCGTGCGGGCACTCGGGGAAGGTGTGGCGCGCCAGGGCGCTGACCCGCTCGCCCATCTGCTTCTGGACCAGGAGGACCTCGGTGGCGCTGCCGTGGCTCAGGGCCTGCTCGGTGAAGTCGCAGCTGCTCTGGATGTTCTCCTTGCCCTGCAGTAACGACGTCAGCTGGGCTTGCAGCACCTGAGCGCAAAAACGACAACCGCCGCATCCGTACGATGTTTGCAGGTGATGGGGAAAAGCGCGAGCGGCCAGAGGAGCGGGCGGGGGGGGGGGACCTTCTGCTTGGCGCTGCAGATGTTGTCCACCTCGGCGACCAGGGCGCTCTTGCGCCGGGGCTCCGTCAGCTGCTTGGAGATCTCGTTCACCAGCTCGATGGCCGCCGCCAGCTGGGGAAGTCTGAGGTCAAAGACGTCGTTCTTCAGTGTCGCGCTCAATATGTGAAACTGCCGCAGTAGAGCGCCGACAACGGCCGAGGAGGATTTACTCAATTTCAGATTTTTTTTTTTTGTATGTATCGGTGACTGGTTTTGGCAGCCTCCACGAAAACATGAAACCTTAAAGTAAGGCCGATATCGGCCCGATACCTGCTATCAGTACTCATGTTAATTATTATGATTATTTTAACTGAAGTCAAATTCTAAAATGAGACCCACGTTCCATAAAAACGAAAATGAAGGCAAATATCCCAATTTGAAACGGAAAGAAGGGCTGACGTCATTGGCGACCTGTTGCGTACGGTGTCCAGCTGGTTCTTGAGCGCCGACTTGTGTTGTTCGAGCACGTCCCTCAGAGGCACCGTCACGTGCTCCCTGTGCTCGCCTTCCGTGCACTCCAGACACATGGCCGTCTCACACGACTCGCAGTAGAACTCCATCACCTGCGGGTGGCGCAATGGAGCGGCAGCGGTTCAACTTGTGCTTGTTTCGTACAGCGATTGAAGCGGAAGTACCACTGGAACAAAATGTACCGCTAATTGGGCGTGAAATTGCAGTTCACTGCTGTTTAAAGGAGACTAGACTTTAGACTGGCTAAAAGCCGGTCTAAGTCGTGGCATCAATCAAATCGCCAAGGGGACAGATTCTGCGCTCCACTGCTATGTGCGGTCGATGCGATCGGATTTCATTCATAAATCCGATATGTGGCGGCGAGGGTTGTTCAAAGTTTGTGCCGCGTGCGCTCACCTTGCCCTCGTGGTTGGGGCAGGACAGGGGCTGGCAGGCGGTGGCGGCGCTGGCCGACTCCAGGACGTTGCAGGCCTCGGGTCGGCTGCACTCGGGGTCCCGCTGCAACACCTCCATCAGGTTGGTGATGAAGAAGTTGTTCTGGAGGGCGGCCACGCCCTTCTCGGGCAGGATGGACGTCTGCCGGCACACCGGACACGACAGCGTCAGAGACTGCGGTGGGATGTAGTTCTGCAGGCATCTGCAGGGGGACACGCAAGAGACCCCGACCGAGTCAGTTGTACTCTCAAACCGCACACGAAGCACAAGCATCTCAACAGAAAATCGACTCTTGTTTGAAAGTCTAACACTGACTTGAAACCTGACTTTGAAATTCTAAACCTTCCCTTCACTTGAATCCAGAAGTCTTTTTTGAAAGACTCATTCGAAACCCATCCCCGACTTGTAAACCTCAATGAAATCGGCGCTTCAATTGAAATAATAACCCGATCTTGAAAACCCAACCCTGGCTTGAAGCCTTAATTCGAAACCCTACCCCAAACCAGAAACCCATAACTTACAGGGAAACCAATTCCTGTCTTGAAACTCTCACCAGGTATTGAAACTCTAAACGAAAGCCCTACCTTTTGTTTGAAACCTTAACTCTGGCTTCCAAACTTACTTTGAAACCCTAAACCTCATTTTTAACCGTCATTTCCAGCCATATCTCTTGTTTGAAAGCACAATCTGAAGTGCCAAACCTCGCCTTGAAAGCCTGACCCTGTCTTGAAACCCTAAGTGGGAATATTAGCCCTGATTTGAAAGCCTGACTCCGGCTTGAAACCTGAATTCAAAACCCTAATCCTCATTTAAAAACCTTACTTGAAACCATTCGTCTTGTTTAAAAGCCTAATTTGAAACCCAGCACCCGTCTTGAAATCCCAACCCAGAAAACCCTTCGTTTGAACCCCTAATACTCATTTGAAAGCGTCTTGACGTGCCGGCTCAGCAAAAACGTTTTGCGCGCACGGTCGACGGCCACACGGCGCGTCGCGTACCTCTCACAGAAGGTGTGCAGGCAGGGCAGCACTTTGGGGTTGTGGTAGCGGTCCAGGCAGATGCTGCACACCAGGAACTGCTTGTCAATCTGCCTCACCACCGGACTGGCGCCGCCGCCGCTCTCGCGCTTGGCCATGGACACGCAGCTTCAGGCCAGCGGGGGACCTGCGCGGACGGCGCAGCGAGACGAGGTCAGCCGAGCCGCCGGCGGGGAAGCGTCCGGGAAATGAGTCAGCGCCTTTTGAAAGCCTCGCCCCGGCATCAGCCGGCTCGAAGATGGCCGCTCCTCCGTCTTCCGCCGAGGGAAGGAGCGACTGCGTCGCCCACGTCGCCGCGGGCCGTTTGGCTTCGTAAAGTACAACAGCTTGAACAAGTCGCCGCTTTGCTAGTCATCTGCATACTTGGGATAAAAGCCTGCGGGCAACGACAAGCGCGCAGTTGGGAAGCCGGCTGGGTGGAAAGCGAGAGCGAGGCAGTGTTGTCATCGTTAGCTGAAGAAAAGTAACTTCGTTACTGTCTTGATTCCTTGCTTTTAAAAGTAACCTAATTCCTTGACTTGAAAAGGAACTCTGACTTTACTCATGTCGGCCATAAGTGTGTAGGAAGTTTGCGAGCGCTTCCACTGCGCTTGTGGATGCCATGTTGCGTGTCAGTGGGTCAAGTGGGGATTACGCAGCGCCGACATGAGCGCACATCGGTGCCATCGGCAACACGGCACCAACGCAAAGGCTTACGATGAAGACCGCACGCGCCGATGACAGCAACGCAATCATAAACAAAAACACCCGTGAGAAAAGAAAAGAAATCGCGTCGCGTGCTGTTCACTGACGTCTGCCTCGAAACCCGAACTCGACAATCCAAGCCGTTGCTTTCAAAACCTCCTCCCTAAAAATGGACGTGCATTGCAAATGCTTGAAAGCAGATTTCTCCGCAAAAATCTTGGACTTTTTCCTCCTGGATGCCCAGCTGGCAGCTGAGTTCCAGACAGCGCCACCTGCCTGCCAGTCCGGGTAGAAGGAGCGGGGGGGATGGGGGTTTAAGGAGAATTTGAGTTGGTGCACAGTGCGCAGGCAGCTGTCCCCCTCTGCAGCAAAAACGAGAGCTCACGCCGACATTCCAGTCTTGGCTTTCTTCTCTCGATGCACTCGTGGCATTGTCGGACCTCCTGCACATTTTGCAGCTTGCCTTGTTGACCAAAACTCATTGCGTGCATGAGAACACACACACACACACACACACACACACACACACACACACACGCACACACACACACACACACACACACACTTTCCTTTCACATGAACTCTGATTTACCGCAGTGACATCACGAAACCACGCCCCCACAATCCCCTCCCCCCCTCCACTCACCCACTCTTTCCTTCCTCTATCCCAACAGCCGGCGCGTCAAAGTTCCTTCCACTCGAGTGAAGCTTTCTCGAACAAACTCCCTCTCGGTTTTCCACTCATCCGCTTTGAATATTGACGCTGTTTGTTCTGCATGAGATGTGATGTGAGCGTTCCAAAAAAAAAAAAAAAAAGCTCAACTCCGAGAGGTCACGTGTGTTGAAATATTAAAAATAGCAACTGGAACGCAGGCATCCATGTAGTGGAGACACCGAAACGCTCATTTGTGCTCAGAGAATCGACCAAGTAGTCCCCGAATCGATGACAATCTGCCGATTCTACTGATCTGCAACATCTACAACGTCTACAGAATCTACAGAAAGTACAAAATCTGTCACATCGACATACAATCTGCAAAACTGCAAATTTCCACGTTGAGAGTTTCAAATTCCCTTTCAAGTACAGAATCCTTTCAACTTCCATCGATGGAGAGCAGAAATGTTCAATCCCACTTCTTTTTTCCCCCCCACACCGATACCGATTTACTCTGAAGTACTCACTGATACCGAGTACCAATACCGCAAGTATTTTTTTGATGTATAAAAATTCAGTTAACACGTTCGCAAAAAAGGTGACCAAAGACCTTTCATTCTGACGACGCTGCCACAGTTATAGCGCCAACTACTGGCGAGGAGGACTGTCTTGATGTCAGATTGTTTTGCGCCATCAAATCGGCACCTAATGAGCTCATCCACTTGCCACTCTCACCTGATAGTGCACTTAAGCTTCTTAACATCCCACGAGAGGTGGTGGTGGTGGGCGG